ATTATCAGGATTCGATCTTGATAACTTCCCAACGATATTATTAAGATTCATCCGATAACGTTATTATTTGAATATAGTTGATATCCTGATAAAAAGTTGATAGCGTTATTAAGATTCCATCATAATAACGATATCGAACGATATTTTTAGTTTATTACGATATCTTGATAAAAAAAAAATCGTGAGCACAGCTATACGAAAAACCAAATGCAAACTCTCGATGTCGGTTGTGGTGCTTAAAAATATCACATGATAAATAAATTTATTCATTTAGTTCTTTTGTGTTATAAATCGAATGTGAACGAGCTGGTGAGCGAGCAAGCGAGTGAGGGAAAGAAAGAAAGAAAAGCGATGCGACCACGGGTGAGAGCATCTTAGCTAAAAGAACCCAATGATTCGGTCAGAAATGTCTGCAATCTGTGATAAACAAGCATGTACATAAGATTTCTGATATTCTTATTGGAACTAACGAGCGCTGAATGAGAAAAACAACTCGCCACAAATGAGCACAAAAGAATGAAGTGCGAACGATCAAGCAAAGCTGTGTGTAGTTCACAGATGCATCTCAAAGCCATAACTAGTCCGTCTTGTTGGTTTTCCTCTTCTTTTTCCATTATTATCGAAGAGCTTCAAACAGACTAACCGACCGAAAAAAACGAAGCGTCGAAGGAAAATGAAAAAAAAAACACCAACGAAATATATTTTCTCATTTTGTGAAAACATCGATTGGCGCCTGTGTACCGCCACAATTGCATCCGAAAAAAAGGGGCGCTCATAAAAAGAGTTAATGAATGTTTCACATAACTTAAATTTAGATTCAGCATACATTACTTGCATTTTGAGGGTACTGTTTCTTTTTAATAAAACGTAAGCATTTCGTTACGCAAAAAAATGGCATAAAAAGCAAAACGCTATTGGATCGAATATGATGAAAGAAACTCCGTAAATTTTGTCGCAAGTTTTTTTGTGAAAGAAAATTCAGCTTCACCATGGGAATAAGCTAAAGGAAGAAGCGAACGTTGTTCTACAAACTTCCTCTGTTGGCAAGAGATACGGAGTATGGGAGTGCTGTATGCAAAATGACCAAGAGAAAAAATACAACGCAATTTGTTCATCATATGCAGTCGGTTGTAGGTAAATTAGCATTTTTATCGTTTATGTTAACCGAATTATTTATGTTGTGTTTTATTATGGACGAATCGAGTCGCTTTTTGCTTGGAAATCTGTTGACTGTGGTTTCAAATGTATGACCACTGCCCCAACTCAAATCGTCAATCATTTGACCAAGACTAAGTGTCTGTCATATCTAGCAAATGAATCGCCGAGAAAAACCACTTTGCTAAATTGTTGCGGAGTTGGACAAACACACAGCGAGATAGAAGTCATGAGAGTGATTGTTATCGGTCGAAAAGGCGCTCAAATATTGTTGTCAAACAATGTCGATTAAAATCGCTCGTAAGAACTTACTTGAAAATAGTTTCGAGTCTATGACTTTATCCTTGAGCAAGTTAATCTTCTCACCGATTCGCTGTGTCATTTTTGTGTTTCATTTCGTATTTGTACAGTTTGAACGGCGCTTTTTATCATAAAGATCGCATAAATTTGGTTGTTGTTGGACAATCGCGAATTCACTGCCAGCACGATGCCAATATTGAGGAATCCAGTCTCAATACATTTTCATGTGTAGCATTCTCTTTCTCCTCACGCTCTGCATGTGTCTCCTTTTATTTTTTTTTATTGCTATTGGAGCAGAAGAACGGGAGATAGAACGGCATTCTAAGAACGCGCACTCGTCTGCCATGCGGTGCTCATATCGGATCATATGAATGTTGTGTAACAATGGCAAATTTCCGTTTTCGTGCATAAACATTCACGTACATATTTGTACGCCATTGTTCTTCATCCGTATGTTGAAACTATTATGATTGTTGTTTGAATCGGTCGATGTACGAGCCGCATATTGTCTATTGCTTCTAATAGTAATTTTCCGTTTTCCACACGACGCCATCAACCAAATATATTAAAGGATTTTGTTGTTGTTGTTTCTGCTGCTATTGCGCTTTGTCTTTCGGCATCATTTTTGCTTATTGAATTGCGACTTTTTCGTTAACACAAAATGAAAACGCTTATTCCATTTTCTTGTCGGTTACTCGTTTTTTTTTCCTTCTACTGTTGCTTTTATTGCAAATGGGAAAAACCCACTCAAATCATGAAGAGAAAAAAGAGATACAAACGGTAAAAGAGATACATTTCTTTTTTCTGGTGAAAATTGCGAAATGACATGATATCGCTTATTGTTTTGTATTCAAACGAATTCGATGGAAGTGACATTATTTCGGCTCGTGTTTCATCTTATAGACGCGAATGATTCATTTGCTGTAAAATATAAGGCGGAACCATAGATACAGTGGCATTTCAATTCTATTTTGAATTATTGTCGGCATATTGCCGGGTAAAACAAACCCAAAGATGCTGTTTTATGCATAACAAATGGTTTAAATTTTGATTGGAATTAAATGTTGGCGTCGCTCGACATCAAAGCACATAGATCAATATGAAATACGCTGCACAAAACACACAATCCTGTTGCTTGTTCACCGTTGATAATAATGTGAACAATAAACGGTTTACCGCCAAACAGCACATAAGACTGCGCGTAGCCAGAAATAGCCCAATGCTGGAGCATGTGAGTGCATAAATTCGATGGAATTTCGAAATGTGAAACTCTGATGAAAATTGAGTCGCCATTCCATTGTACATTGTGCACAAATCAAAAGTCAATTATTCGCATTGGAAATGCCATTGCTGAGCGTGAATAGTAGCATACTTCTTATGGTAGAGATAATCTAAATCACTGCCACAAATGGGATTTTTTTTATTGTTTTATACGGGACTTCAACGGCATTCTGTCTTGTGTCTTAAATAATCAAGCATTTGCATTTAAAGTACACTATACGAAAGTAATGATTATCATAAATTTTCGACATCTTTTAGAATCATGTGTGGTATTTATACGCCGTAAAAATGTATCTTCAAGAAAATATTGTGGTGAGTGAGTGAGCGAGTAAAAATGCGAGGCAGAGATAGGAGGGGGAAGGGCAAAGGGTAAAATGATATCAAGGCAGATATCAGAGAGAGCACGTGCTTCAATCAAATTCGGTCAATGACCGACCATAACTATACACTCCACTGTTTGCATTCTCTGCATGAAATATTGGCATACATGCAATGTTCTTATATTTTTTTCGTTGCTATTTTTCGTTTTTGTTGCAGTAATTAACTTAAATATTGCCGTAGCAATGGCAAAAAACAAGGGAATATGCTGTAAACAAAATTCTTATCGAAAAATTGGAGTGCAACCAAATTAAATTAGGCAAACTTATTAAAGTGAAATTCGAGCGAACAGAAGATGGATTTAAACGACGATTATGATTTGGGATGGGAGAAACAGAGAGAGAAGAAGTGGGGAGGTGGTAAAGAGAATGAAAGAGGATGAAAATATGTTTTTCCATCTAAAAAATAATAAAAAACCATATCCTTTTGACTGGATGCTCAAAATTAATTTGCCACTTAATTTGTGGAAAAATGAAAACCATTAAAAATACCGAATGATGTGTTGGTTGTAGCCGTTGGTGGATGCCGTCGATAAAAGCACTGCAGAGCAACAATAACGATGAAATTTCTTCTCATTCTCGTGGAAAAAGAAAGAAAGAGAGAGAGAGAGAGAAAGAGAGAGAGAACGTCGAGCACAAGATGGAAATAACAATACCAAAAGCATAAAATATGTCTTTGTTATTCGTTAGAGTGGCCGGACGCAGCGGCAGCATGCGAATTACTTAGCCTCTCGTTTAAATATATCGCATAGTTATGGAACAAGATGAGTATTGCTCATCATACATGAGTAGAAAAAAAAATTGTTGTGTGTATTCATAATATCTTCGTCTTATATTTGTTCACGCTTCATGCGTATAATAGGATGATGATGGTAGAGAAATTCAGGCGATTGGAATGATTTTTGGCAACCCATAGTAACGCAATAAAATTTGCTGTGTGGCGTTGCCAAGAAAAGAAAAAGAGAAAGAAAAATAAAACCAAACAAAACAAAGGCAAAACCGTACGACGAACGCATAGCAAAACAACACAACACAACACAAACACACATACAACAAAATGGAAATAAAATAAAAATAAATAGAAAAACATGTAACAAATAATGCCAATTGAAGCGATAGTCTACTATGAATGAGCATCAAATGCAAAATGCTTGAGATTTGGAAATTTAATGAAACTTACAAGAAAGCGAAAGGTTCGTTGTCTGGGCCCCAATCCTACCATCCATTCGTCCGCCAGTTCGCCTCAGATCGTGCTCGATTACATTTCATTCTCTGATTCTGGAGATGGAAAATGGCAAAGCAGTTGGCCCATACACTTGGCGTGTACTCGAATACATATTACCACTCATTCCCAATCGAATATCATCACTGATGTGCTAACATTTCTAGTAGATTTTCGTTTCCGTTTATACGTTTGGTTTGTTTGTGCGTTTTTTTTCTCGACGTAACACATGCCTTTGCCCCAAGATTTTTTTTCTGACACGCTTAATATAGATGCGGTGATACTTATTTCTTTGAACGAGAAAAAAAAAACATGTTATGTCGTTGTAACTTCAACTATTTTGCCCAAAATGGATAGAATAATGCGTGAATATGACATCAAGAGCAATGTTCTAGGTTCAATCGGTGGAGCAACACAGCAACACAACAGTTTTTTTCCTCTCGTCTCTTGCTTCTCTTAAAATTGAAGTGAGTCGATTTTAAGCAATCATCAGGGAAACTTGAGTAAAAAAATGCTCAAAACAAAACGAACAAAAAATGTGCCAATTAAATGAGGTTAAAAAAATTTAACTTATTCTGCATCCTTTTTTTTTCTTTGAATGACAACAGCTGAATATACTAAAAATGGGCCATTATAGATAATGTAACATATAAATTTGTACTTACAGTGGTTGCTTCTTTTAGCTTATCTTCTCGCGTGTTATCTCCTTAAGCGTATTGCATATGGGAAGAATCGTCGTCATATGCTTCCGTTCGACTATAAAATCCGATTCATGCGCGCACAAATCTGAATAATAAAGGAAACAAACATAATTTTCAACATAGATAGAACTAATTTGTACCACATTTTTATCCGAGCATAAAAAACCATAAGCCAAGAGATGCGTTGAGCCGAATAGACGGCAAATACAGCCGACTACGATAAATGCGCCTCAATGACAAAAAAAAAACATAATCGAATGGAATTCATACGCGCAATAAAACAGTAAACGATTTAATCGTTTATGATGAATACAACTCTTTGATTTGCAAATAAGAACCAGCAGCAGCATTGCTGTTGAATCTGATGCAAGCGCCACATAGAAATGCGTAGCGATTTCATGTGCGACTTGTTGTTGTTATTACTTTATTTCGTCGTATTTCTATTAAAAGCAGCAAATTTTATTATTGAAGGGATTGAAATATGTATATCTATGATCTATACTATAAAATTTACAATTGAAAGAGTAAACCAGTTTCATATATTTTTTTGTCCGCTGCTGTCATTGTACTGCACATATTTGAATAGTAAAACACGGTCTAGAAAATATGTGCATGACAGTGAAATAATAAATAAAAAAAAGAGAAACAGAATTAAATCATGCGAGGAAAAAAATATGACCGAACGGAAAAAGTACGGATACACATGGCTATAAATCACTTTATATGTTTATTTAAATTAAATAAATCATCGAAATCAACCTTGTTATGCTCTCGATATCAAGAATAATGGCGATAGATAGAGAGCACAAAGCGCAGCATATCGAAATAAATATATACAATCGGCCCGATTTTTTTTCGTTCGAAGGTGTGTATTTATTAGATCAAATGGAGTTATTGAAAACGGCTTAAAATGGAAAACATGTCGCACATGGCTCACTCAATTAAGGATTAAATGATACATTTTTTATATCTATTTTTTTTACTCTTTTAATTATCGGCTTACGAAAAGCGAACGACGTGTGCGCGCGCTCAATTGCTCGCGCGACATCGAGCATGGAAGTAAAGTCAAAATTTCCGAGTCGTACCAGAAATAAAAGCAGAGCTGAAACATAAAACAGTAAACATGGTAATTAAATCGTTATGTAATTATTTGCAATTGACTGACGGGCACATAAAACTCGCACTATCGCCTGAGCTCATGTGCCCGCTCACTCTCATGAATCCCAGATTACGGGGCGTTGAATTGTGTGTGAATCGGCCCAACCTTCGATTGGAGATTCTTGTTACCAGAGAGAGAGAGAGAGAGGGAGAAAGAGAGTGTGTGTTGTCTGTGGCAGTCCGTTCAGTATTGAGTATTTGTGCGTATCCGCCAACCATATGATGTTATGCCCGTGTTGCATAGGTACCCACAAAATCAAGTTCAATGAATCAGCTAAAATCCAGTCGAGTCCACTTATGCGATTATTATGTGTATAGAAAGAAAATCTCGGCGCGCGCTAAACATGTGAACCTTCAAACTGATTTTACTTCCGATTGTATTTGCGGCTGGTGCTTTTTGTTTTTGTGTGTGTGTGTGTGTACCTTTTTGATGTTTGATTTTTGTCTAATCTATACTTAATGTGCTCTCGCGTGATCAATTGAGTACTAGAGGTGAGTAAAGAGGGCCAAAGCAATTGAATGCCATTAATGATGTCAAGTTATTGAACTTGCACGTGATACCGCAGATCGCATTAGCCCATTTTTGAACTTCTTCCTCATTTACATCATCTCGTGTTCAACGATAAATTCGATATATTTGATCAACCCAGTTAACATGGGCAAACAGCACCAATCAAGAGAGAGAGAGGGAGAGAGAGAGGGAGAGAGAGAGAGAGAGAGAGAGAGAGAGAGAGAGAGAGAGGAGTACAAAAACGTTTGAAAAATTGCCTGTCTCGTAAAATTGGTGTGTGTACATTTATAATTCAATGTCGTATCACTTTGTCATGCAAGAGCCATGATGATGATGATGATGATGATGACGAAAGAAATCGAACCGTTGTTGAGTCTTCATCTCGTGGCATCGTACTTATGTTCTCGTATGGTGAAATCCACTCGAATATTTTTTTTATTGCTATATTTTGCATGTGCATTTACATCATTGTTGTTGTTTTCTTTTATTTCACTTCTGTTTTGTTCCGTCAGTCGTCATAAGAAAGTTTTGATAATGATCGTCCAGCGTAAGGTATATACGATTAATATTTATATTGGAAGCAATTACATGAACGTCATTCGATGTCCATAAATTTATGCTAAATTCATTGATGAAATTTCAAGATCATCACTTTGTCTGCTCTTTTTTCGGTTCAGACTTGGTGAACTTGTTCCGAATATAAGAGAGCCCATGCAAAATACCACACTGGGTACACCGAAAGCAGCAAAAAAAACAATAACAACAAAAACAGCACCGAAAAAACGGCATCGATAGCGCCGAGTGCGCATAAGAAACGTGTAACATGCGCGCGTACAGATCGTATTGTAATTTATAGAGTTCAAACGATTGTGACATCAAGCAAGCAAACGAACGAACGCATATATCATAAGCGTTAAATACTAAATGAAGCACTTGTCCCTGTATTCGCGTCACTTAAGGAGCTTCGGCGCGTTTTTTTCTCTCTTCTTTTAACACTCGTCGTAGTATTTTTTTTTTGTGCTACCTCATTCAGTGTAATGCTGTGTGTGTGTGTGTGTTGTGCGGTGTAAGATGCAAAAAAGCGTGAATCGACATTATGATCATGTGTTATGATCACTGTTTTGTTCGTGTTTGTAACAATCACGGCGCTTATTCCTTTAATGAGTTGCAACTTTGCAATGTGTTTCGCTGTTATTGTTACTGCTGTTTTTGAGTTTTCCCTCTTCAATCACACGATTGGGTACGACGACTAGTCGTTAACGATCGATTTGAATTCCATATAAAAGGTGAACCGTTCGTCGAACAAATCATCAGTTACTTGCACATCCTCAAAGTGTACAATACAGTCTTTTGTGAAGCAAAACGTAAAAATTTTCAAAAACCCAATCAAAATGTTCAAATTGGTAAGTGTTCGGAAAATTGAACAAAACGGCGAATCGTAACGTGAAAACAAAAATAAATTGTGAAATTTTTTTTTAGTTTGCTATCGCTTGTGTCTTGGCCGTTGCCAGCGCTGCTCCAGGAGTGATCGTTGGACATTCACCAGCTGTGGTCACTGCTCCAGTTGCCGTTGCACACAGCCTGCATCCAGTCGCTGTCAGCCACTCATCATCGTAAGTTTCACATTTTTTTTCCCTTCTCTATTTAAATTAAGCACACAATCAATGTGATTCGGAGTTCGAACAACGGATTCGAAAGAAAATAAATGAGCACTCTTTCGGCAACCTGCAATTTGCTCGAGAGAAGACCCAATGGAATAAGCAAATATCACTTCGGACAAATTTTGTCCGCAAAAAGTTGAAAATATTTTCCAAAGAAAATTCAACTCTAATGAAAAACAATTCTTCTTTTAGACACGTTGTGCATTCAGCTCCAATCACCAAAGTTGTCCACACTCCATATGTCGCTGCTCCAGTCATCCACACCCCAGTCGTACATTCAGTCCCAGTTGTTAAGACTGTCCACGGTATGTATCTCATTCCAATTTGGCCAACGACCAATTTCAAATCAATCGTCTGTTTTTTTCGGCAGCGAATCGAATGAACTGAAATTGCCTTTGATTCGAAATTTTTCCATCAACTTTAACAATTTAAACAACCAAACTCAATGATATTCATTCTCCATTTTTCAGCTGCCCCAATTGTTGCCCACCCAGTTGTACACAGCGTCCATGCACCAGTTGTTCACAGCGTTCATACACCATATGTCGCTCATGCAGCCCCAGTCCTTGTTCACCATTAAATTAAAACGAGAACAAATAGGAATATAATCAACGTTTTAAAAAAGAACACAACAAATTCATTTAAATTATTTTCGGAATTTCCCTTTTGACCCCCTTTTTGTTACCATTTTTTTTTTCTAAAACAATAAAAAAAAACCATACCAATATCTAGAAGAAAAATCCTTTTGTGTTTGTTTATTCATCAACTGAATTGGATAGGTTCAGACAGACAGACGAGCTTATCGATTTTCGATTGATAACGCGCCTTCGTCTCTCTCAGACCTATTTTTTCAGCATCATTAATTATTACGATCGAATTTCCCACATAAATGAATAACAAAAAAAAAAAAAACAAAATAAATCGATAATAAAATCATTGCAAGTGTCTTCTTCAAATCATCATCAGGTTGACACACGCACACAATTAGCCTAAATAAAATTTTAACTAAAAATTAATTAAACGCCCAAGATTTTCCACATGGACAATTCCCTGTGTGAAATCACAAGCATGTTGTTTGTAACGCTTGAAGAGTAGAAAAAAAAACCCAAAACAACTTTACAGTTCATAGAACGGCAAAATTGGGACATAAAAAAATGTGATAAAATTGCTGAAGACAGAATGGCGATGTTTTCCACTGATGAACAAACGCTGAAATTACATCACACACAAATACACTTGCAGTGGAAATCCGTTCAAGGATGACTTACCGTGAACCGGTAGTTTTTTTTTCCACCGTTCAAATAATCAAATTGGATTTGAAACTAACTTTCTATCAGTGTTCAATTCCCTTTTTCTAGCTGCGGTCGTTGTAACTGTGTGTGTGTGTGTATGAGTGCTTGTGTTGGTTTTTACAATGCAGTTTTGCCGTATATCGATCATATGCAAGTCGAATGCTTTAGCCATGCTTTTGCATTTACATGCAAATTATTTCGAGCATGTTACTCTAGGCGTGTCTAGTTCAAAATGACTATTGTTCGATTTAAATGATTTGTTTTCCTTGCCGAGTTTTGTGTGTACTACACACGCATTTGTGGATATTATTCTAAGGAGCTCATTTACTTATGAGGTTATATTTATGTACGGCATTTGTGTTTTATTGATGTTGTTGCTTTTAATTCGCCTCTGTTTCATTGCTCTCCCTCTCTTTCACTCATACTTACCACTCGTATGCATAGCGACACGTCTGCTCTAGATTATTTATCAATTATCATATTGGAGAAGTTTTTAATGACACGCAATTATAAACCACTTCACTTTTGAAATAGGAAATTGTCGACGATAAATAATACGCGGCAGCATTTCACTGGCCTAGAGTCTATTTCATTTGAAATGATAAATTTAACGTGGAATCAAAAGAAAGAAAAATCATACAAACCGAAATACTTAAGGAAATTCGTGATTTATAACACAATAATTTTTTGTTGTTGTTGAAAAAAAAATCGGAAATGCAATTCGTTATTTTCCAAGAACTCAAAATCAGGGCAAATGTAGACAAAAAAACGTTCAATTTGCAACGTTTCCATTCAGTCGAAGGGAAAAAATCTATTACATCATCTTTGAAAGCAAGTACACAATTGTTGACATTTGACGATGAACCGAGCCGAAACCGCAACTTTAAGACAGAAGAAGACTTTAGTTTAGCAAGAAACTCGCATCCAACGGCATGTTATCCCGAACAAAATCGACTGAATTAAATTAATTTCGCCATGAATATTCTGAGAAAAGTGGTAAACCGAAGGTTTTTATGTCAGCACAAAGGTTTGTTTCGGTGAATTCGTTGACAATTCAAAAGAAAAACATGAATTAGCATTCGTTTCATTTCTACTGTTGTGAATAGAACTGGCTGGCATTCGAACATTATTTACACCGGGTACATTAGGAGTAACTGCTTACATTTCGAATCGTGAATTGGAATTGATGTACACCTCACAACCGGAGCAATTTAAAGAAGAGTTTCGAGGCAAAGTTGAATTAGCCGTCCCATTGAATTTACTCGTTGACAATCTGAAGAAATATTTACATTTGATGAGTAGCCAAAGGGACGACATTGAATTGCTATGGAAAGCATTGCGTCTGTTCAACACAAAACGTGATCAGTGGCAACAAAAATCCCAAATAGACATCAAAAAGAATTATATATTCGGGCCGATTACAATGCGAGTATTGCACTACCACGATTTACCGGAGTGTGCAATTAAGGTTAGGTACTCTAGGCTAACCATATCCATGTCTGTTTCTATCATATTAATTTTATGTTCTTGTCTTCGTGTGGATTAGTTTTTCGAAGATGACAATATAACCCACTTGTTCGATCAGCTGATAACCTATCAAATTCTGCTGGACATGCTGTACGACCGGAAAATGTATGGTGATGTGCTGCGTATCTATGATGAAGTGAAAAAACGCATTCTAGCACAAAACCAATATGTTTCGAATGCAATAAATGCCATTGTTTTTGCAACGTATTATCGCTTGGTAGGTGCAAACACACCCATACACATTTGTCGACTCCACAGTTTGCAAAATCGATTACAGAATTATGGAAATTTATTCAAATTTCATAATGTATATATACTCGCACACACAGAATACACCGAACCACGATGAACTTGCCTACGATATGTACAATGAGCTGAAGGCGTGTGGCCAACATGAAAAACAATATCGAAAAAGTATTGCCCTAGTTGCCGCTATGAGACTTAAACGCCATCAACCCGACGAAAGCCTCGAAATTCTATCGATTCATGATGACATTGATGTTAATATTCGCTATGTGCGAATTCTATCGTATACATTTTTAGCCCAATTTGAAGAGGTATTTCGATTGCTTGAAATGACACTTGCACCAACTCACACCGATCAAATCATTAAAATACCCGACCATTTGGTAAGAAAGACATAGTCAGGCAGGCAGGATGTATTCGTTATACTATATTCCGTCCATTTTGCAGCTGCAGAAAATCGAAAGAGGGCTCAAGAAAACCAGCAATGACAATTATAACAAGCGATACCAATCGATATATGATGAACTTAAACGCTTGGACCGGATCCTTTATAAAGTACAAAAATCACTAATTTTTTTTTGGATAAGTGACTTTTTTCAACTCTTTCTCTCTCTCTCTCTCTCTCTCTCTCTCTCCCGGCCTAGAGACTGGATGATGTGCTGTGTGCTCGGTTTCCCACACAAATGGCTCCGTACAAACCAAATAAAAAATTTGGCCATGGAAGTTTCTAGTCATTACTTTAATCGGATCCGATCAAAATGTACATAAGTTTTCAAATAAAAACAAAGAACAAATCGTTAAATAAACTCAAAACGTTTTTTACTTCTCTTCATACCCTACAATGGCTCACAATGTTTTTGGAAATGTGCGAAATACGGCAGATAACAAAAAAATGTGTGTGTATGTTGAAATTGGCCAGCAACTGTGAAGTGTTTACCGAACGAGCAAAACAGCGATGGATTATAGAGTTGCGGGATGGAGTAACGTTTACGCGTTGTATGTATTGAGAGCTCCATGTGGAAATGGAAATAAATCAGAAGACAGTGTCAGGGTTAGGCCATACATTTAGTACATAGATCCAGCACATACGGTGTGTACACTGTACATGCACCGTGTGCAACGAATCACACAAAATTCACTCCGTCTCTCAGACTCGATGTTTTTTTTCCACGTTAAATCCAGAGTATCAACCATTTTGCACTTTGCCGTTTAAAAAAACGAGAAAAACCAATATAATGAACATACTCACAATGTCTCGAAAAATCGAAACTTTAGTTTTTGATAGAGCAAATTTGTTATAGGAAATTTCATTGGAATTCATCATTCATGAAATTTGTTTTTATTGATGATTTAGAAAAATTAATTTAAAAAAAAAATTGAAAAAAAGGAATTCGTTGATTTTTTTTTCTTTTTTGTGTTGAAATTCACGACATTTGGATCATCGTTTGAATCGGCGAACAAGTGAAAAATTGACCTTGTTCTGTTGGTATTCATTCTAAGCGAATGAAAAAAAGGCATCGAAATTATACGGGCCGATTTTTGTTTGTTTTAGGTTGCCTTTCGGCCATTCCGTTGAATCTGCAATTAATGCACACATAAAAATGTACCACCAACGATACGAGGGCAAATTGATTTGAAATCACCCGCGCTGCACACACAACAACAAGAAACTGTATAACAAAGATTATGGCATTCGTTCTTGAATGCACGTTTTCCATTTGAAATGTGATTGCCTGCTCCATTTAAACGGGGTGGATAACATAATATAGTTTTTTTTTCTGTTCGTGCGATAATTATCCATGCAAGCGATTTACTTGTCGTTCATGCGTTTTGTTTCGATTAAATAACGGTTGTGTTGTTAACAGACATTGGAAATGTTTCAATAAAAAAAAGAACAGACACACAGGGCACACAGCCTGATGAACAATTTACTTTATTCACTGATCTGTATTTATTTGATTTCGTTTATTTGTAGGTTTCTTGCTATTTGGTGGCCTTTAAAGTTGCAGTTATCGAAAAAACGTGCTCGCATCATGATTGGTTGTATTTGGATAGTGGCATTAGGCTCGACAATTCCATGGGCATTGTTTTTCCAATTGGTTCCCCTGTATCAAGATTCGGATATCGATATAATGCTGTGCCGTGAGGTGTGGCCACCCGGACTCGATGGTTCAATGTATTTCCTGATTGCAAACGTGTTTGCATGCTACTTGGTGCCGATGTCATTGATTTCGCTGTGCTACATTCTCATCTGGTATAAAGTGTCGAAGCGTTCGATTCCCGGCGATTCGAAGGATGCACAAATGGATCGGATGCAACAAAAATCCAAGATCAAGGTCGTTAAAATGTTGATTGCTGTTGTTATTCTCTTCGTATTGTCCTGGTTACCTTTGTATCTGATCTTTGCACGCATTAAATTCGGTAAATAAATCAGTTGAATTCAAATTGCGATGCGGCATCATTCTCTTATTTCGTTTGCCGTTTAAAAATTACAGGCAATCCGGAGATGACCACTTCTGAGGAGGAATTCTTGCAAATCGTGACACCGATCGCACAATGGTTAGGATCAAGTAATTCGTGCATAAATCCATGTTTGTATGCATTCTTCAATAAGAAATATCGACGAGGTTTTGTTGCCATCATCCGATCACGCAGTTGCTGCACTCGATTGAGGTATGTATTACCACAGAACTTAACAGAATCTCCTTCCGTTTTATGTATCACTTTTTAAAACTCAAAAGTTTCACTTATTGAACTTTTCATTTCCTTCTAAAATTTCCTTTGCTAAAATTTCCAATCCAATCTTGGATTCTCCGCCTTTGCAGATACTATGAGAATGTAGCCATTGTATCGTCATCGACAAGTACACGAAAATCGTCACATTATCACAATAAAAAGACCCAGTATAGCCCATCGATTCGTTCCGATGCCGTTTCCTACATTTATGATCAGAGCTCACAGAAGCGACACGGAATGCTTGGCAAACAGGATAGCAACTTGTCACGCCAAATGCTCGTGAAACAAGACAGCCACAGTTCGCGTCAGATGCTGATCAAGCAGGAAAGTTTTAGCAGTATATCGCGACAAGATAGCAACGCATCCCGGCAACTGCTGTGGAAACAAGAAAGTAATGGTTCACGTCATTTACTCTCCAAGCAAGACTCTCAAATCTCCTACATTGATACGCGCAAGAGCCACTTAATGCGACAAGATTCCGATTTGTCAAAGCGTGATCTGTTCTCCAAACAGGACAGCACCATTTCGTACATTGAGCCACGCAAAGGTATTCTCAACAAACAAGATACACAAATCTCATACATCGAAAGCAAGAAAAATTCGTTGTGCAGCCAGGACAGCGATGCATCGTACATTGATCACAAGCGTCATCAGTTGGTAAAACAGGATTCAGTTGTGTCATTCTCCGACCAAAGACCACCAGGTAACAAGACCGACAAGATTTCCTATTTTATGAAATGTAGAAATGTAGAAAATGCATTTTAACGTATTTACAACGTTTCCAATCCGTATACAGACATGCACCGAGCCCAATTGGTGAAACAAGACTCAGTGATTTCATTTGCCGATCAGCGAAGGGGCTATTTGCATAAACAGGAATCCGTGCTGCAGTTTCCGTCGATGAATCGAAACAATGACATCCATCCACATCATCATGTATCGATTCTAAAGAAAACCGATAGTCAAACGAATTCACCGAAGAAAAGCATCGAATTCATCGACTAATTCACTCGCCGCACCACGGCAGTGAAGTAGTGACCATGCCCGATAGATATGTATCGTTGAAATGCCGCCCACGACTATCAACCAAATGGTGTGTGTGTCACAAATGAATTTGGTCCGTAAATAATTATTATACAATTATTTAGAAACAAGAAAAAACAAATGCGCCGGAATAGAACATCAATAATAATTACAACAACAACAACCACAACAAGAAGAAAAAATCGATTAAATAAAACAAAAAAATATATTGTAGCGCACAAAACCAAAACAAAGATGAACAAGGAGATAAATAAAAAAAAATAATGTGCGCTATGTGCTGTGAGCCTAGCATCTTAGGAACAAAATGCAACTTGAATCTGATTAGTGAAACGTAAATAAACTATTTATGGCTAAGTTTTAGAGTAGATGAATTGTGATGAAAAGGGTAATGGAACATCCGTTTGTGAAATGTTTTAGTAAACAAAAAAAAAACTGCACGCTTTTAGACAATTTTGTTTGATTTTATACAGAAAACAAAATGAGAAGATTGAACATATAATACCTTAGTTTAAGCATGCAACAACTCCCCTTTTCCCCCATTTTACGATTCAGGTAGGTCAAACACACACAATCACACAAATACACATACAAATGGTGAACGTTTTTGAAATGAGAGAAATTTAAAAAAAAAGAGCCACAGACACAAAAACACAGACACACAACAATAGCCACATCGAATGAAATAAATATATCAATGTGAAACAATTATTCATTGGTTGAAGACCTGATAAACTCAAAGTCAAGTTGGACAGAAGCACTAAATGCCACCATCACTAACTGCTCCACATCTGGATATGGCTGGTGATGGTGGTTGAGATGCATCATTCAGCTATTTTGATGGTAAATTACACATAAATCAAATGACTACATTCAAAGAAACAAAATACACACGAAAAAAGGATTTTAAGACAAAAGGAACTTTTTGCCATAATTTTTCTTAAAACAAAACAAATTTTGTAAAATTTCTACAAATGTAAATCAATAACATAAGAATCTATGATATTTCATCTGAAAATGAAACAGTGAAACAAAGGAGAATACTAAATAATTAATTACACACTTAACGATTTCAACTTGTCATAAAAATTACAAACCAACCAACAAACAAACCAAAATGATTATTACTTGAAATAATGCGCATACATATCTAAAGTAAACAATGAATGAACAAAACAAGTATAAATTTACACTGTAAGATTTTAATAAGGATTACCTTATCCCATACCCTATCCCTGCCCCTTCATTTGAATGTTTGAGTCCGTAGCGAGGCTAGCTAGAGGATTATGAATTTTTCAACCAATTTTCCAGAACGGTATTTCATCGATACCGATTTGTATCTGTAACTATACTTGAATCAATCGTTCAAATCATTTTCTTTCAACCAATTTTTTAATGAGAAATTTTTTTTGGGCGTTTTCGGACTTTTTGAAATGGCATTTTATAACAACAACAAAAAATTGGAATTAATCGTCACTTTTATCAATCATTGATATTGGAAATTTATCCGAATTACCTTCTCTTTCTCCTTCAAATGAAACAACAAGCAAATAAGAAGAAAATGTGTTGATTTCATGATGCATGTGCTGCCCGAAGGCTACGGACTTGATTTATATCTAATGAACATTTATTACCTAATGGAAAGTGAAAAACCAAACCAAAAAAAAAAAACTACAATGAACAACAAAAACACATAATATGTCGCTTGTTCAATCAGACCATGTTCGCTTTTTTATATTTTCTAGTGAAATACATTTTAGTAAAACAACCAAACAGTTTAAACTAATAAATAATTGAATGAAAATACAATCATCGCCACAAAACAAACAAATCAATTGTAGATAAATTGTTGTCATATCAATTTATTGATTTATTTTGCTGTGCATTTCGGTTCTATTGCAGAACTTTGCATATTTTGATTTCCTTTCATACGAATTGCCATTTTACAAATAAATATGCAAACAAAACGAAGAAGAAAATAAAACATGAATCATATGAAAAGCTGTCACTTTAGCACCTAATTCTAACCAAATTTTTTGTTTTTGTTTTTTCCCTCCAAAAAAAAATTCATCAATTGAATTAAACGGATCTTTGCGAAATGGCTAAAGATTAAAAAAAAGAACACGCATACTCACATACACAAAATCACACTCTAAAACCGTTGGAATTGTAAGACATTAATCAAATTCATAAAATACTTTCGAGTACTACCATATGAAATAAATTATTGATAATCGAGAAGAACAAACACAAAAGTGCAATCAAGGAATTTTTCGTTGTATTCGTTTTACCCCAAATGAGATTCACAAGTTCAAGAAATAGTGATAATAAACCAATAGCGAAACCCTCACTGTTAATGAAGAAAATTCGGATTGAATTCAAACGAACAAAACGAAATTTGGTTTCACAGCGATCAGACAGGCATATATATTTTCTTCATTGTTCAAAACGAAAAACGAGTACAACGAAAGATGATTTTTATTTGTTTGTTTGCTGGAATTGATCATGGTTATGATTGATCACAATGTGAATAAAATTAACAGCGTGTGTGTGTGTATGTTTTTTTTAATGAATGTCAATGACAATGTGAATAATGTAAAATGATTTTGCAACAATTTTGAACAACCAAGACGAAGGGAATGCAAATAAATTAAAAATATGGTATAAACTAAATATCAGAGCACAATATGTTGATGTTTTAAGCGAGAAAAGTTATAGTTAAGAATAGAGAATATTGAACGGTTTGTCTATCTGCCACAATTGAACAAAACAACAACAAAAGATACCTGTCCATGCCCCCATGTTATTGTTTCACACATGGTTTATATATGCAAAAGTGGCAAACATTTTAGTTGGCTATCAAATACATAAATATATTTAAATGTAAAGTGCGAAATGCAAAACGATTGTGTTGGGAAAAAAAAGACAAATTGTTAGGTAATTTATGCGCGCTATCATTCTTCTTTGATTATATGATTTTTGCTGCAAAGCTGAAGAAAACACCATTGTTGCTGTTGTTCTCCCGAGCAACAATTTGCGATTTTGTTATCTGCATCACCGTCTATCTGTGTGCGCATGTGTGAGAGACAAATTTAAGTGGAGCTAGATTAAGCAAAATACATATATAAATATATATTTTTATTTTTCTTGTTCTGTATAGAAAACAAAAAAAAAACAAAAACAAAGTGCAACCAATGGCATCAAATTGAAGTTATTTTATCTATACTTATAAAAGGAACTATTTAATCGATTTTAAAACTGAATTAAAATACGTAAAATCATTCTATTTTTTTAAAACAAAAAGAATAAGATTGACTCTTTATGTACTGCAACCGTTGCAGCCACACACACGCTGGCGCTCGCTGGATTGCGCGAAGAAATTGCACAAATTTTTTTAATAGAGAATTTATAATAATTAGACTTATTGAATTTCTCATTTTATTTTGTATATTTCTACATATTTGAACATTTTTGACAGGCGATGAACGTTCTTCCCCCCCCCCCCCTCTTTCGCTCTCTATCTCTCTGTTGACCGAGTGATTCAAAATTGGTATTGCGTTGTTCGATTGTAACATTGAACTTTACTGCTGTCGGATCGAAAAACCCGTTGTTGAGGCTAAAATGCCAATCTATATCAAATGGAATTGTCCATGAAGAGCGAAGAAAAAGCGATTAATAATTTTCGAGCTAAAGATTTGTCGGTGAATAACCTCATCAACAGGCTCTCCTACGGTGGCTTCTGCTGAAAATATTTTTTTTTTCGTTCATTAATCACATAACGCTGATGTTTTACAAATGTTGATATTTTACAAGCACTCATAAGAATTTACGCATTGTTTTTTTCTTTGCCAATTGATTGGTTTTTTTTTTAAAACGATTTTACGAGTTCAACTTTTCGTCCACTTTAGAACGAATATTTAATTGATGATGGTGATGACAACGATAACTACATATGATTTTTTTAGTTGAAAAAGACAATTTTTATGTGAACACAGAACAAGTGAGACTCATATGGCCATTTTTGCGTTTCTAATTTTGGTGAGATATCAAGATATATGGAAGTATACAGATTAGTTATAATTACAAACAACAACACACTCACACTTGAAAAAAATTCAACAAAAATAAAAATCGACAAAAAAAAATTACACATAAATTGTAATTGATAATAATAACATTAAGACAACTCGTATGTGTATCTATATGAAGAACAAAATAACAATATAATAATAAAAAAAATAAAGCACATAGTTTGAATGGAATCAGAGAAAAAAGCACATTGAATGAATGTAGAGATATTGTAGAGCGGCGTATTAGCGGGAATGGCCTTTGAATGTTTTATTCGACCTATATCGATGTGGGTCGATGCCATATTTTCAGCCCATTCGACACGGATGCATTGTGTTAAAAAAAAACTAGATTTCTATACATGTAATCGATATGGAAGTCATCGCACAAACCAACAGAAGAAAAAAAAACCAACAAATTCAAATAGAGTTAATCCAAGGTGTAAGTAAAGTAAACATACATTTAGAGTTTAAGTCTTACAGGCGCAGTCCCACTAAAACAACAAGAAGTAAATGAATTACAAAGAGAAGAAATGAAAAAAAAAACAACAATACAGAAAAGATTTCATAACTTAAGCGATAAGAGCAACTCTAGGCTTTTTTGTATACTATGGCTATATCTTTAAGGGACACACTGTGTGGCGTATTATGTGCCACACTTAGGAAATTTAGACAAACAAAACATACAAATGAAACATTTAAACTCGACGAAAGAATGTCCTGGAATTTACTGCCCTATCATTTCCAGAATTCATTTTTTGCCTGTTCCAATACGTGAACAAAACATAAACACACACAAACACAAATGAAAAAACAATAATATTTTATGCTCGAAATTCTATAGTTTTCCGATGATTGAAACAAATCAAAATGCATCCCACTCAATCAAAAATGTGTACTTTTATCAAATTGAGAGATTTCCTCAGTTAAACCGTTTTATGTTTAAATCCAGAAAAAAAACCAATCACCGACCCACACACACACACACACACACACACACACACACACACACACACTCTTTAAATAGTATCAAGTTGCATTGGAAATGCTGCCAATATCATGCATTGAGAAATCCCTAAATGTTTAATAAAATTTTACGCGTCTTCTCACAACTCCTCGACAACTCCGTACAACACTAATTTAAAGGATAAAACAACAACAACAACAACAACAAAAGTGAACATATCAATCAATGAATGGATAAGTACCAAAGCTTCAAAAGTATACACGTAGTCCGTTGCATCTATTTTAATAAGAGCAAATCGCAAAACAAAATCAACCAATTAAAAAGAATTGTAAGCAGAGAAAAAGTAAATAAATGATGGATGGTTTTGGAGGCATGTTAAGAACTATTATTGAACGCAACCCAAATCTCCCTCTCAATATATATGAACGTAACTGCAAATTTTATCGATTTGGCCAATCAATTATTTGCGATCTGATTTTGAACGATTTACAATCAAGTTGTATTAAGAGTATGGTTAAGAAAATAACTACTTTAAAAGCAAACCAGATCATTTACACCGATTTAACGGTGTAATATTATCGAGGATATGAATCGCACATCGAGATTTTCAATCACAATCAATACGGTTTATTATAACGAAAAAAAAAAATGTGGAAAATCTTTGGTAGTCATGCTCCTCTTCATGTTCCCTTCATCAGAAATGACACAAACGTTCTATTGAATATAATTGAAGGAAATCTCACTAAATTGAATCAATTGTTATTTCTTCATTTTTTTTTTTCTTCAAATTTTAAAAACATTGTTGTCCTTTTCCAATTTGATGCCCACAGCCAATGTGTGTCTTGTAATTGAGTTTCGACACACACATGTCACGCTGATCAAGGCCAAAATTAGTAAATAACCCTTTTTTTCTGCAATTGATCCTGTTTCCTCTTCATTAATCTATAAAATTGACCTGAAGTCTTTTTTCATATTCAATTTTAAAAAAAAATTAAATCATTTTTGTTTTTTCAAGTTTAAATGGAACATAAATCTAAAAAATCATTTTGAAATAAATGCAAAAAACATGGGAAACAAACTATAAATGGGTTTGTTTAGCCATTTATAAATCAGTTGAAACAAAAATATTACGATATGAAATTGTGAATGAAATGAAACAATGTGAGAAAAGAAAAATCTTCAACAAATTTTCATCCAATACACTGCATACTAGACGTGCATTCAAACAATTTCATAGTGAGTGTTAATCACGTTGATTTTAACGCAGGCCGTTAGAAATTATTTGTAACATTGACACAGGAATAATAGGCGATAAAGATAAGTTCTTGTTTTTTCTTTCGTTTTGTTTTTCTCTCTGGGAAATTGACAAGACAAAATTTGCCGAATTCATAATGAGTGTATCGAGCCCACAATTTAGTAAGCATATGAATGACATTGAAGCAGACAAAATAAAAATTACACATTCCAAAACACATAAGTAATCAAAAGAACAAAAAAAAACTAAAAACTAAACCAATACACATTTGCATGTTATCACAATGGAAAAACCACGAATAAAGCATAACAATAACATTGATAATAATATTAACGAATTAATGAAAGAACTAAATAAATAAAATATAGCCCAAAAAAATCGGATGATGTTTTCTTTTATTTGAATTTCATTTTCAGAACAATTAGATTTTGGCGACAATTTTCCAATTAGGTAAAACCAAACTCTCCGGTAAGTGGAAAGTTTGAATTTCTAGTGAATGTTTAGACGTTCATTTTTCAGGATAAATTTTATAATTTAAGAGGAAAACCGCAGTTGGAATGCAGAGGAGGAGAAAAAAAAACAAAAAAAGAAAGAAAAAAGAGAAAAAGATAGAAAAAAAAATCGAATCAAAAAACTGCGTACGGCAAATGTTCGAACTGGATTTGAATCGATTGCCGTACTAGCGCGCGTTTACTACACCACATCGCCATAAGTGTCACTGTCATTGAATGTGTGAATTGAGCGCGAACTGAATCAAAACACGAATAAACAAGTAAGCGATCAAAAATTGTTCAGCCATCGTTCAGCGTATTGTTGTATTCGTTGAAAAATTGAAGAAAATACGAATAAATTTCTAGTGATAAGTGTTTAATGGATTGAACAGCAGAGCCATGAATTTTGATAATGGAAATCCGATGGCTGTATCACAGTCGTTAACAAAATGTTTCCAAAGTGTTTTCGATACGCAGTCCATATCGAAGAAGGAGACGGTGATCTCAATGATAGCAAAAAATCTAACCTATGACGATCCGGGAATGTTCATCAAATTACTGGTATGCGATGAACAAGATCGAATCATCCAAGATGCCACTGTCATTTGGCTAATTAATCAATTGATTTGGATGTCAAACGAGCCACAATTCTATCGGTAAGATGAAGAAAAAAAAACAATTTCTGACATTCATACAAAAGTAAACTAATTGCATCAAATTTCCCCTCGTTCAGTTTAATAGAGACGTCGACCAACCTACAGAAAAGTATTTTGTCGGCGAGTTTTCTGAAGCAACCGGCATTGTGTCGCCAACTGTTGAACAAATACATCGAATTCACGAATTTATTGTCAAATGGACCGGTGCAGCCATCGAAACCGCTCGTCGCAACCATGTTCGAGGTGGAGGATTTTGATATGGCTACCATTGATCCAAACTGTACATTCAAACCGATTCGCATAACAAACATTCAATCACAAAATCACATTTTAATGGCTAACGTCAAACTGCTGCGGAATACAGCCATCGAAATGGCCAACTCGGATACAGAAACAACAACACAGTGCACCCGTTGTATTTTGAATGTGTTCACCAATGCCACCATGCAAATCAAGTCGGTGTGCTTACGGTATTTCTCCGAGCTATTCAAATGTATTTTATGTTTGGATAAGACACTACAACCGATGATTGTGTGGATATTGGAATGCGTAGAGGAGATTGAAACCCGTATCGCCGCCTGGATTCACCACAAATTAGTCAAACCCGATGCGGTTGATGCGTTCGTTGATGCTGTGAATAATGTCTTAGAAAATCAGTACATTAGCAAGTTGTTTGAGGCGAAATACTTGCGGCAGGCGATAAACACGTGCTTGAAAATCCTGCAAACACATCATAACTTAAGAGTACAACATTACGATAAGATCATACCGTCCGTATACTCATTGGTTAAGACAATATCATGCGAAGTTGGCGACGAACTTACGCACACAAACACGTATCAATTTGTCAAAGCGACGCTGCCCAATGACATTGACTTTCAGAAAAACTTTGAATTGCTCGGTCCCGTTGTATTGGAGCAAATGAAAAGTGGCCACATTCAATCGTGGTGTTTGGCCGATGATAAAATCTCCGATATTCTCAATCATCAACCTCCAGCCACCGAAGTCATTATCAATCATCTGAAATGCCTTTGCACCATATTCAAAACGGTTCGTTTCATGGAACACAACTTGATGATTCATCTGCAGCGCGAGATGTGCAGCAAAAGTATGGCGACGGAAGACGAACCAAATCTCACCGCAGATTTGCGCAAAGCATTCACGGCACACATGGAAAAATTCGCAAGACGATTACTGCCACAATTGAATACTCTCTCCAAGTACGTGATACAAAGTTTTTCAACATTGTTGAAGAACAGATACAATCCATTGGTTGATACAACGACATTGCTTCTGTTCACCGACATTTCCATTGGCATTTTGAGTGTGTACGATGCATCGGAAATTGACGACTATTTAGAATCACAATTGATGGTCATTGCATTGTGCCCGTTCATTCGGTGCTCGGAATTGCTGTACAATCATCTTCAGCAATCATTCGAAGCGGAAACCACACGATTGAATAAAATAATGGAATCACCGTTCGTTCGCAGCAATGAAGTTACGTCGTGGCAAGAGCACGTCCTTCAAATGATTGCTGGCATCAATATGAAGCACATTTCCACCAAGAATAAGGATGTTTTTATGGATTTCTTGGGGCAGATTTGCAGCAATCTCACACAACCGGAATGCTTGGACCAGATTATGAACGTGTTGATTAGTTGTGTCATTCAAGTGAACACCTACAGTATTTCCGATTTGGAGAAATTCATCAAGAGCATGGCATCAAGAACCAGTAATCATTTGATTATCTCACGTCATTTGTGTGGATTTTATTGCATCTCATCCGGATTGACCTACATTTTTCAAACCAACCAAGGCAACACATATCCGTACAAAATCATTTGCCCCAAATGTGATACACATTTGCAATTCGATGGCAACAAAGCAAAGGTACTGTCACAGTTACTCGACCGAACCAACGGCAAATTTGTACGCAATTTGACAACTAAATACACAATCCAAGATAAATTCCATCACAATTACTTCAAGCTGTTTAAGTCGAACGAAAGCCAAATTCGGATAAACATGTCATTGTGTTTGCCATCGATACTGAATCATCTGGATTTGGAACGCTATTCAGACGCTGCCGATTATTGGCTCCATCCAATTATTGATGATGAGAGCGATATCCGACACTGGGCTACCAAATACATGGTCATAATTCCAAATTGTGGAAACGAACTTGTGCTGCGCAAATGTGCTGAGCATCTGTTGAAAAGCACGAAAAAATTCCTGATGAGCGATCAAAAAGCGGACCAGTCATGTGTACTGCAAATGATATCATCATTTGCCGCATCCAGCGAAATCAGTGAATCAATGCTGTTGAACTGCTTTCGAATGACACTGTATTTCTGTATGTCATCCAAATCGATGGTGTCACGACAGGCAGCCTTACGTGCCACCGAAATATGCTATAAATTTGGAATCATTCCGAAAAATCTACTCGTCTGGTATAAAACGGACATTTTTAAATTGATTGTGACATTGTCCGTTTCCAATTACATCAGCTATAACATTGGACTACAGAAATCACTGCAAACGGTAAGTGCCGAAATATTCCATCGTGATAGTTGGATGTTTTTACATAAAACATCAACAAAACTTAAATCGAATCCGAATCCGAATCGAATCTACGTACATTTATGGAAAACAACAAATTATTAACCGTTTATTCAGGTGGGCCAAATGTTCGGCTACTCAGAAGATAAGCAGGACTTTATCGTTGAGCACAGTGGTATAATCTTAGCAATGCTTGTACCGTGGTCGATGAAACAAGAAAGGTGTCTAAATTTGATTATGGAAATCTGTGAAATCATCCAAAAAGACATGGCGTCCACGTTGAGCAACGCATTCCTTCCGATCTATTTACATTTGCATCTGCACGAAAGCGAAGACATCAAGAAAAAAGGCATGGATTTTCTACTGCAAAACGTCGACAACTCATTGTATGTTTTGCTCAAATCGGATATCAAGGTATGCAACACGCTTACGCATTTACAGAAAATCAAATCTTAATTTGAAAAAAAAACCATTTCTTTCTATACACGCAGCAAACACATGCTGAGATTCTGGTTTACTATCACAAAAATCCGGATTTTGTTATGAACACATTCCGATACTTGTTGAGCGATGCACCCGAACTGGAAAATTCCAAGCCGGAATTTACGACCAAAATATTGGTTGATTACTTAAAAACCCGATTTCTCGGTGTCATTTGTCACTTTGAGCAAATTTTGATCAATGACAATGAAAAATCATTGAAACGGGAAATTTTGCTGAGCATCGGTGAGATTATGCGATTTATGGGTTCTGAGAATATCACCCAATTTCGATTTAAGTTGTTGGCTGTGTTGCGCACCGCACTGGATATCAAACAGATGGATTTGAAGGATGTTTGCGCCAAAGTGTGGAAAATCTTCATTTCAATGGTTGATTTAGTGGAAATCGGACCGTTGCTCAGCACGATATTCGTGTCACTGGAGCCGCTAATGGAAACACATCGAGACGCTGTCAATGAAATTTTGCGATTCTTGATCATTGACAATGGAAATTTGCTCAGCACACACATTGCCGAACTGTTCTTTTTGCAACACACAAAAGTTTCGGATGAAATCAAATCACACGTTGCAAAGTATACCGACAAATCACACACATTCCTGTCCGATTTCACTGCATCGCTACGCTATATTAACCATGACAATTTGACGATTCGCATTTTTGGGCTGAATCACTTGACGGACCTCTTTGAAAATAATCGCAGTGCATTGAACAATTTGATAATTGGCCAACAGATAATGCATTCAAGCATCGAAAATCTGTTGGATATTTTGATGCACTGTATTAAAAGCCATGACGAAGGACTACAAATTGCGGCTGGTCGATGCTTAGGTAAATTGGCTGCCATCGAACCGAGTCACATGTTGCCAAACTATAGGCCACAAGCATCATTTGCACGCAGCATTAACACCGATGAATTTGCCATCACCGCTCTCACTGAACTGTGTTCAGCATATCAATCGCAAAAAGACACGAAAAACGTTGATGCATACTCGCTGGCGATACAAGAGATTCTTGTGGCCCGCAAAGTGTGCCCGAAGAAAAGTCAAAATTTAAAAGTGTGGCAAGCGATACCAGATCGTATGAAATCATTGGTTGAACCACTGTTGACGTCATGCTACACAATCACGCATCATCCGACCAAGGTAAGGATTCATCCGGTGTTTGGTAGTATTCGATGTTCCACATACGAAGAATGGGCATACTCATGGGCTTCAAAAACCATTGATGCGATTACGGACGATTCCATTCGAAGTTTGTTGCGTTCATTTAAACTGAGCATGCGATTTGATATGCGTATACTGACCATGGCTCTGCCGTACATCATCCTACATGCGATTCAACTGAGCGATCCACAAGATCGACAAGAAATTGCCGATGAATTTTCAACCGTTGCAAATTATGTATCGAACAAAAGCGACCATCATTTCAGCGAAGCAAGAAAAACGTACACAAACTATAAAACCATTCGAGATCTTGACTTTTCGGCGTCAACCAACGACTCCGATTCGAATGCAAAGAACGAAACAATCGATGTGATTGCCATAAAATGTGCAAAATTGATTTTCAATCAACTGGACTTCCTTGATCGATGGGTTCGAACATCACAAAATGATAAATTCCACAAGGCGGTGAGTCAATTTGTCAATCAATTTGATAAGAAACTGTTGGCGAGTGCGAACTATAAATGCGGTGAATATGCACGAGCATTGATGTACCTGGAGTCATACATCGAAGCGAACCGGAGTCAACGTTTACAAACCGAATTGTCATTTCTGTTTCAAATTTACGCCGAACTAATGGATCCAGACTCATTGGAGGGTGCGCTCAATTTGAAAGACACGGAACCAACGTTAACTGAGCAAATTCTACGGAATAATGTACAAGGCCGATTGCAGGAGTCGACCGTTTGCTATGAACGAATGATGCACATGGATGGATTGATCGAAAGCAATGCAAAAGACATGATCGAATGCTATCTTGGGCTTGATCAACCGGAAACAGCAATTTTACTGGCCGAAGGTTTGATGAAAGAACTTTACGATCAAAATTACGAGGTCATTTTGCAGAGCAGCGCTGAACCATTGTGGCGCTTAAGTCGATTTGAAGCACTTGAAGAACTCATTGAAACGTCCAATTTAAAAGAGAGTTCCGAATGGGGCATTCGATGTGGTCAGATTTTATTGGATTTTCGCAAAAATGACAATCAACTCTTTGAATCAGAAATCGATAAATCCCGTTTGGCTGTGCTCAAGGATTTACGTATCGTTGGTGACGAACAAAATTGCTATCACAAAGGTTATTCGGATGTCATGAAATTGCACTTGATTTCGGAAATTGAACAGGCATACTGTTTGACATCGAAAATACTAAACGGAGAATTGGATTCAACGCAAATAACCAGCGCATTAAAGAAGTTGTTCGGAGATTGGGATGGGCGACTGCAGCTGTTGCAGCCAGCAGCCAGAATCGTTGAACCGGTACTCTGTTTGCGTCGAATCGTTTTGAACGAGGTGAAATCGTTGGCCAGTGGTCGTGGCATGAATGAGAATATCTTCAAATCGTTGGAGAGCCAAATCAATGACTACGTGGGTACGTCGTGGATAAAAAGCATCGAACTGGCACGAGAAGATGGATGCATTCAGCAAGCCGATCTCTACATTCTCAACGCTGAATCATTCAAACCGAAATTTTTGTTCATCCAAAAGGCGAAACTACTGTGGAAGAAGGGCGATCAAACGAATTGTTTCAAAGTGTTGGAGCGTGGCATCGAAGAGCTGAAACCGAGCAAAGGCAATCGAAAGAGCATCGATAGTCTTGCACATGCCGAAGCAAAGTTCCTTATCGCATACTATAATGCTGAATCATTGAACATCAGCAATAATTTGAATGTACACTGCTTCAAACAAGCCATTGCGAGTGATTCGGTTAGTGAAAAAGCGTACGTTCATTACGCTCAATATCTCGACAAGACGCTCGCTGTTATGCCGGAAAAAACTTCGGTCGACCCATACAATCCGAAAGCTTACGACATTCAAATGGAGATATTTTTATTGTATTTCAAGTCGATGTTATTAGGTTCGAAGTATATTTATCAGTCGATGCCGCGGGCACTCAGTATCTGGTTGGATTTTACGGCAGTCAGTGACTTTAAAAACAAGAAACAAGAGGAACACTTCAAAAAAGTCACACTGAACATGAATCAAATTGCCGAAAAATACACCGAAAAATTGCCAGCGTTTGTCTTCTTTACGGCCTTTTCACAACTGGTCAGCCGCATTTGCCATCCATCGAACGATGTGTACAATGTGCTCAAAACGATTTTGGTGAAATTGATATTGTCATTTCCGCAACAGTCACTCTGGATGATATTGAGTGTGTACAAAAGTTCGTATGCGAGCCGAGTGCGTCGATGCACCGAAGTATTAACCGATAAACGTCTTCATTCGAAGGAAATGCAAAAATTGATTCAGGATTTCAATGCATTGGCAGAAAAAATGATCGAATTAACCAACAAGGATTTGCCATCGAAACAATCGAAATTCTCGGTTAAACAAATTTATCCGCAGCTACCGGCACTGCTATCAAAGCCCGGATTTTCGCAGATTTTACTTCCGATTCAAAAGTACATGCAACCAGTTTTACCGCCACTTCATCAACGCGACGAACCGGCCAATTCGTTTAATGCCTTCCCAAATCGTGCTGTTTATATTGTGGGCATGAAAGATGAACTGACGGTTCTACCTTCATTGCAACGACCGCGCAGAGTCACATTGTGCGGCAGCGATGGCAAAAACTATACGATTATGATGAAACCAAAAGATGATCTGCGCAAAGATTTCCGTTTGATGGAGTTCAATTCGGTTGTCAAGCAGTATTTGCATCAAAATTCCGAGGCTCGACAAAGACGATTGAACATTCGCACATACGCTGTGATACCGTTGAACGAAGAGTGCGGCATTCTTGAGTGGGTACCAGATCTGCAAGCCTACAGACACATCGTCAATGGTTAGTTTTTGTTTGGTTAAAAATCAAGTTTAGAACGAATCTGGAAATACCCGATTTTTCGTTTCTCCAAAAAAATGGAGAAGACATTGTTCTCTTCGTCAAAATTTAGTCGTAGACATTTTTTGTTCTATGTTAATTTTAAATATTCTGGCATTTAAAAAAAATTACCATCGAATAATCTTTCCAAATCAATTCTAGGATATTACAAACAAAAGGGTATTGGTGCGACAACGGCTGAGATTAAAGAAGGTCAAAAGTATTCACATGCTTCGATTGAGCAGAAACGTGACTGGTTCAAGAAAATTGTCAACAAGAATACGCCAATCTTCTCGGATTGGTTCCGTGAGCGATTTACAACGCCACACAATTGGTATGAGGCGCGCAATTCATATGTGCGTACAACGGCTGTGATGTCAATTGTCGGATACATTCTTGGTTTGGGCGATCGACACGGTGAAAATATCTTATTCGACTCGAATTGTGGTGACATTGTTCATGTGGATTTCAATTGTTTGTTCAACAAGGGCGAATTGTTTGAAGTACCTGAGGTTGTGCCGTTCAGATTAACACACAATATGGTAATTATGCACCAGCTTTTTCCCCATCAACACCTTTTGATCATACCCAATTGTTGCCAACATCTGAAAAAAATACTTTTCTCGCACAGGTACACGCAATGGGTCCGCTGGGTGTTGAAGGATCATACCGGCGATGCTGTGAAATCACAATGAAAGTGTTGCAAGATCAAATGCCAACGTTGATGTCAATCTTACGACCGTTTGTGTACGATCCGCTGGTCAGTTGGAGTCGTCAATCGAAATCGGATGGCCGAAGTGAACGAACCGATTCGCAAGCGATGACAAATGTCCAGCACATCGAACAACGTTTGAAAGGATATGTAAGTGTGCGTGCATCTATTGAACTCAGTCGAAATATTCTAATAACGAGTTTCATTTCATTTCCAAGGTTAAAATCAACGGAGCCAATTCGAATATGCCACTGTCCACGGAAGGTGTTGTAAATCACTGTATAACAGAGGCTACAGACATCGATAAATTGGCGAGTATGTATGTTGGATGGGGCGCCTACCTCTAAACTACGCAATAAACATAAAACAACAACAGCAACAAAACCGAATTTGTAAACGTAGCAATCAATTCCATTCTGTTTTTGAAATGATTGTAAGAGAACTTAATTGGCAAATACACAAGAGTCATTTGTTTACACATGAATTTTTCTTTTAATTGGACAAAAAACGTATGTTACATTAATTCGTCAAATTTCAAATAAAATTTAATTGCTCGAATTCGTTTAAAAGGTCTAAAAGTACATTGTAGAAATTCGGTCCAACAAAATTGTCACGGAAGAAGAAGTCTTCGCTTAATTCTCCTGGCTTTGTCTGCTTCTCTGCTAAAATTACTCGCAACATACTCAATATGTGTTCTAGTTCGTATTTTGCTCGGGATTCAATCTCCGACCGACACCTTTTTTGAGAGAAACAAATTATCGTTACTATTCAACTTGAAGGAGGATTGTTTTTTGGATCTTTAGACGTAGAAATAAACGCGTTCATAAATTATAATGAATGAAACTTAAATCAGTATCCAAAATAGGTGAGCAAAGATCAAACTCACTTTTCATATGTGTAATCGTCCAGCGGACAGTTGAGCATGGCCAGTGTTTGATAAAGATGCTTGTGATAATACTGAAAGAAGTGTTCGATATTCCCTTTTCGATTCGAACCATTTATGCTGCTGAACACAAAGAATACCAAATCATTTGCAAATGAATCATATGTCATCAGTTGGTAATCACAGAATTTGACTTTGTCAATGCGCCCCGTGGAATCTGAAAGGAATAACAGGAATAAAAAAAAGACATAAATATCATAAAATCTGAGTAAGTGAGTTCTAAATTTTAGTTTACCACACGTAAACATGATGTTATTGGTCCATAAATCACGGTGCGAAATCCCTGTGTACGGCGTATCTTGTGCAGGCAAATTCTGGTGGCGCCAATCACTACACTGTTTTAGCTGGTTCAAGACCTTTTGTCGCAGATTTTCATCGAGTCCTGAAACTTTGTCAACACTGGCACTAAGACTCTGTGCATGGGGACAAGATTAATTAAACACGCTGTATGGGGTTGAGTGGAACAATAGTGATAATAAAACACACTTACTCGCGTTATTTCACCGTCTGTATCGATTTGCCCGAATATTTTCGTGGGTTGTAAATATGGTCGGATCTTTTCGTCAAATATCTTCGGTCTTAATAAACGCAACGCAATGGGAACAGCATGAAACTTTGCCATATTCTATGAGAGACAATAAAGCATATGACACATTGTTTTATAACGTTCAAACTCACACACAAATTGAACCACAAAATTCCAAAAGCTGCCTAGAATGAGAACCAACTCGGATTTGCGTCACATTATACCTCAAGTACCACTTCTGCATCACGCATATTGAAACCATTGGCCCGATCTCCGATTTTAAATCCTCTGGATTTGATATTTTCCAGCACAAGAAGAGCATTCTGGTCTGCAACTTTAAAATCTAGTTAAAATACAATAGGAAATAGTAGAATAGAAAACCGGAAACGAAAATGTGTTCATTCTTACTGCTGTCGAGTGAATTGCGTGCTCCATAACACTGAATGAAAATATCAATCAGATCATTTTCGTTGATGCCACATTCACGTTGGAATTGAAAAAGAGCTGGTACAATTTCCACATAGAAAGAATTTTCTTTGACACAAGTGATTGTCGGTTCAAATATCGCTGTGAGAATATCATTCGTAACCGGAAATTTTACTGCCAACTGAATTATTTTCACCTACAACAAATGATACGTTCAGTTCTGACATTTGGATTCAAGATAAAAAAAAACGACCGAAATCATACATACCTCACCCAATAAATCATTGATTGTGTTTAGCTTAACTTTGATATTTATTGCCAATATTGTGCTACCGAAATTATCGCCTCGTGCGGTCAACGGAGCGGCCGAATAATCCAAAATCGTTGCGTTTAACGATTTTTCAAGAAATGGAATAATTTCACTGATTTGATTCAACATCGTCTCACTCTCTCTTTATCTGTCTCCCCAGCAAGAAAAAATTATAATAAACAAACACCGTTGAAATGTGTGGTTCACTTTCAACAGCTTCAGATAGACTAATTTTCAGTGTAATTTAGTTTCGAAATAAATATCTATTTCGTCGCAATGAATATTCTGGATTTGCGGAATATTTTGAATTCATGTTTGATACTTTATTATTTCTGCGTTCGACCCAAAACAGGTTTGCATGAAATTCTGTAAGCATATCGAGTGAATGATCCTTAAGTAATCAATTCACATGCTCATTTAAAATAGACGCTGGTGAATCCAGTTTTTCCTTCTCTTTTATTCGTTCAATAAATTTTTTTCCGATCGGCCAAATCGTCTATATTTATGTAGATATAGTGGTATTTATCATGCTTTTATGGGCATTTTGTTTATTTATTGCTGTCAGCGTGTGAGTTGGTTGTTTTTTCCGTTGCTGTTGCTATTATGTTGGTGTGGTTTACAGCATCATCAAATGTAGGTAAATCGTTCAAAAGTGAAGCCGAAAAAAAAACCAATCACTTAGCAAGTGGTTGGAGCGAGACAGTCAATGCACAAGCCAGTGGTCATTACGTTGCTCACTCACTTAATTGTGCGTATTCCGTATTGTGTATTTCAAATCAGATGGTACTTTGAACGATATGCAGAGCACATAGCGACAATAGTTCGCCTGCGTTAAATCACACTGTTATCTGCGCATCGGCACGAGTTTATGAAAATTCGGCTCTCCGATTTGAATTCGTTTCAGGCAGTCTTGAGCTCATTTTTATTCATTGTTTTACATTTAAACAGGTTTTCTTTGCACGATTATTTGAATAGTTCTTTTTCCCTTTTTGGAGTTTGCATTTGCAGGAAATTATTCACAAATTGATTGATAAATGATAATGAAATATTGATAAGCAAAAAAAGTAAAACAGTATGCAGCCACTTATTGTACGTAAGACGGTGAATTCGCAGCGGCGAATTTGGCATCCAGCATGAAAAATGTTTGCCTTTCGCCGTCATGCAACCACCATCGAACGAATTCAATGTGAATCAGTCGTTTTACTGCACATTTGTTCGTCCACCGAAATAGACCACTCATCCAATCACCGTTTGGCGTGCAAATAGCAATTAGTTTTTGGTTGTTTGTTTTTAGAGAGACAGAAGATTAATTGCATTATCATTGTTAAATTTTATTGTTGTCGTTGTGATTTGTTCTGTTGATTTTATTTGAATTCGAATTTGTGGAAAATTTTCAACAACATTCAAAATGGTAAGTAGCTTAGCTTCTTTTTTTCCAATCGGATTTTTTTGCATTCCAATTTTTCGGTCGAAAGAGAGATTTTTCAAAATAATTCTCAGAAAATAAAAACAGTAAATTGAATTCAAATTAGAAACATAATTCATTGAAAGTTGGCAATTTAAGGGTCATTTTTCGCGTAACTCGATTTCATTACATTGAGCATAGATTGAGACGGTGTATTGTGCGCACATCGAATGCTCATAACGGTTGTTTTTACCTCTTGCACAAACACCGACCGAAAGTGAGCAACACAATTGATACTAACGGCCGACATTTTGTTTCTTTTTTTTGTGTATGTGTACATTCTTTTCGGATGCAATGATTTAGCGCGAAGTGATGTCGATTCATGTTGGCCAAGCTGGCGTTCAAATTGGTGACACAATCTGGGAATTGTATCGTCTCGAGCATAACATTAATGCGGACGGTACAGCAAATTCAGCATCTGATACGGGCGCATTTTTCAGTTGCACTGACAATGGCAAATTCGTGCCGCACAGCATTTACGTTGATCTCGAGCCGACGGTCATCGGTGAAATTCGTACGGGTGTGCATAAAAATTTCTTCCATCCAGAAACATTGATCTGTGGCAAAGAGGATGCGGCCAATAATTATGCGCGCGGTCATTACACGGTCGGAAAGGAAATTGTTGATCGTGTGTTGCAACAGATGCGAAAACAAGTTGAAAAATTTGATTGTTTGCAAGGTTTTTTCCTATTCAATTCGTTTGGCGGTGGCACCGGTTCGGGTTTTACCGCACTTTTGCTCGAACGCTTGCAAGCCGACTACGCAAAGGCATTGAATCTCCAGTTCTCGGTTTATCCGGCACCAAAGATTTCAACAGCCGTCGTTGAACCGTACAATTCCGTTCTGACCACACACAGCACCATGGACTACGCAAACGTAACATTTTTGTTTGACAATGAAGCATTGTACGACATTTGTCAACACAGTTTGAAGGTCGATCGTCCGGCATATCGAAACTTGAATCGTTTGCTTGCCCAAGTGGTTGCATCAACAACGGCATCGCTTCGTTTCCAAGGTTCCATGAATGTCGATCTCAACGAATTTCAAACAAATTTGGTGCCGTTCCCGCGAATCCATTTTCCGTTGATCGCATACGCACCGCTGTCTGCCAAGGAAAAATCAATGCATGAAACCAACTCGATCCGTCAAATCACAACCAGTTGCTTCGAAGCCAGCAACTGCATGATGAAATGCGATCCACGCAATGGGAAATACATGGCTTGCTGCATGCTATACCGTGGAGACGTTGTGCCAAAGGACATCAACGACACAATATCACACGTAAAATCCAATCGCACCATCTCGTTTGTGGAGTGGTGCCCGACTGGCTTCAAGGTAAGCTGTGATCTTTTGTGACAACAAACTTGATATTACCGCATATTCTGATTTCAGTTCAACTTGTACGATTTTCATTTTCGAATATGCTTCAAGCGCTCAAAACAAATGTCCATTTTCTTCTGTTTTGCAGGTTGGAATCAATAATCAACAACCATCGCTTGTGCCTGGTGGTGATTTGTCTTTGTCAACCAAGGCATGCTGTATGTTAGCCAATTCAACGGCAATTGCTGAGGGATTTAGTCGCATGAATGCAAGTAAGTAGCTCTCATTCGGCAAAACAAACGAATCTGCGACCAATTCTCAATTGAAAAGTTTTCATTTTATTTCACAGAATTCGATTTGATGTACAGGAAACGCGCATTTGTTCATTGGTAAGTGTCAACTGAGTGCAGTCAGCCATTCGATTTGCTAACAAACTCGTCTGTTTTGATCGTTTTAGGTATGTTGGCGAAGGAATGGAAGAGGGTGAATTTGCCGAGGCTCGTGAAGATTTGGCCACGCTAGAAAAGGATTACGAAGAAGTGGGCACCGATGACGTTGAAGAAGAATTCGATGATGGCCAAGAATTCACAGAATATTAAATATTGTATGGATTTATCACGCGAATCCAAAGAATTGTATTATTTGTTATCCGTTTGTGCATTGAAAATGATTAGAATCAAAAAAAAAAATACTGTCAAACAGAACATCAAAATACGGAGCATAACGGAACTTTCAGTAAATAGGTAGTGTCTCAGAGAGAGTCAAAATGTTTTCGACCATGTCTTTTTTTCTCAATAAATCAAATAGAAATTCGAAAAATCTTGATTCTGTGGCATTTGAATATACATTTCTCTGAAACAATTTAGCAGAAAGATAGGAATGGGAAGGCATGATATTGAATGTGCAGACCAATCGAATGATGAATTTCAAGGTAAGAATAGGGAAGCCAACGATGACAATTTGCTTCAACAAATCAACGTCTTACTTTTTTGAACCAGATTGGCGTAGGCTTCAGATTTTTGGGAAGATAAAATGATGAAAAAGGGGAGGATTTTGATCGAGATAAATGTGCAGCAACAAAGAGTGCTCACATTTAAAACTCGATTTCCATCAAGTGGAATAATCCGTAAATCGTTTGGGGGAAAAACCAAAGAGCAACGTAAAAAAAGGTCACGGCCAGGCGACAAGTTGGTCTCGCATCAATCTTTCAAGCGACAAAAGTGAATACCCACCGTTTCAATCTATAGTCCTAGTCCATGTGTCGAAACAATTCTAAAGTTATCGGATATTTATTTGTTCAGATTGAGATGAAATTTAGACTCAGATCTCGAATAAAATGGAAACGAGAGATTTGTTTTTGATTTAAATCCTTTTTATTTTCTATCATCAACAGGTTGCATGAGCGCAAAGTGTGTGCAGATACACTGAATTTATGTGCCATCTATTACAATTGCATTGTGGACTGTCTTTTCTTTTAATTCTTTCATTTAACATCATATCATTCTGTATAAATTGGTTGCGTTTTTTTGTTTATTGAGTTGCATTTTTTCTCTCATTTCTATACATATAGTCAGCGATTTTTTGATTAAATCCAATGGCTCATACAAATTTATGGAATACATTTTCCCCAGTTTTATTGGTTTCTCTACATATTTACTTCTCATTTATTCATTTATCAAACAATGTGTAAATTTAAAAAAAAATTGAATGTTTGTATGTTGCTCATGATTTTTTTTTCTAAACTCTCAGTTAGATTACGTGTTCATTCTACGAATCCGAAAATATTTGAACAATTTGGAAAAAAAAGTATTCTTCTTAAAAAATATAGTTTAGCAAAAAAAATCATGATCGAGTCCTTGTTTAATATGGAACATTGGAGAATAGATACGAAACACTTTCTCCGTTGTGTGTTCGTCGCACAGCTTCAGCAAACATCATCGACACGTCGATGCACTGCAAGAGAAAAAGAGACAAAGAAGTAGAATGTTCGGATTAGTTTGTTGATTAAACAATGACAATTAAATTTGTAATCATTCGCACAAGCGAATTTTCAATCGTATCCCACCTGAATTTTCGGGCAATCACGCATATGGCCATCCTGTGGAATTGTGTTTGTAACAACGACGGCTTCAAAGCAAGCGTTATTTATTCTCGAAATAGCTGGTCCCGAGAAGATGCCATGTGTCAAAATGGCATAAACACGTGTGGCTCCAGCTTCCATGAGTTTTTCAGCTGCATGACAAATGGTACCGCACGTATCGGCCATATCATCGACCAAAATGGCAACGCGATCTTTGACATCGCCCACCAATACCATCGATGCCACCTCGTTGGCCTTCTTACGTTCCTTGTGAATCAAGGCGAACTCAACATTCAAACGATCAGCGATCGATGTGACACGCTTAGCACCACCAGCATCTGGTGATACGATAATTGAATTACGCCATTCCGAGATATTTTCCTTGATCCACTTCAAAACGGCCGGTTCGGCATACAAATTGTCGACCGGAATATCGAAGAATCCCTGCGAAAAAATGAAATGATTGCATTATTTACACATTTCCACAAAGAAAACTGTTTTTTTTCTTTCTTTCGCTCACTCTAGAGACTACCTTACCTGAATCTGTGAGGCATGCAAATCCATTGTGATAATGTGATCAGCACCCGCAACTGACAGCATATTCGCAACTAACTTGGCTGAAATAGGCGCACGGCTCTAATGTTCCAAATAGCGGGGTTGTCGAATGGGAGGGGAGGAAAAGATATAAAGAGAGAGAACAAAAAAAAACAATTGTTTGGATTAATCGAAATGATGATGATTAGTTCACCGATGGTTAATGCTTCATTTTGGTTCGCATTGATTCCCACATGATTTCTTTAAAGGACACATGCAATTATTGTTCTCATTTTTTCTAGAACATTTTTTTGTTGTTGGTTTTTAGCATGAAAATATACACATTTTTGATCACCATATTTATACAGACGTACAAAATGGATCGACTCGATTAAACAAAATAAAATTATAATATACATATATATGTATGACTGATCTCGATGAGTGTTTCCACTATGGAAAAAGAAAACGTACACAAAAATTATTTATTCAATCGCAAAATTAAAAGGATTATTTGTTCAAAGCAAAAATCAAAAGTGACAATTCACAACAAACAGCAACAATTTTATGTTTAATATGTATGTGTCTATGTCGCATGCATTAAAATTGGTTTTATTTTTTTATCAAAACCTCTAGATCAAATTGAACACTTTGATTTTAACCCAGTTCAATGGACAATTGGTCAGTGAATTTTTGTTTTAAATCTATGATTATTTGGCCTATGTCTAAATTTCAAACAATTTAATTCCATTTTTTCTTCTGACGAATTATTTGATTCTGATTGAAGCGAACATTTCCTGTCATTTCATTAGCTACAATTTTTATTCTAGATGATAAATCCTGTTATCAAAAACCGATACAATGTTTGTTTGGTAAATCAATGAGTAGGATTTTTTTTACAACCATTTCATTCTAACTAAAAGGAAATCAAAAAACGAATAAACGGAAAATTCATTACCAACACAATAAATAACAACAGCAACAATATGATTACTCACAGTATAATTGTGCGTAGAATAATCCTAAAAAAATATTGACATAATTCAAAATTAAAATTTAAAATCAGACAATAAACAACAACAACAATAACAAAATTGTTGGTGACGATAGATAAGAAATGGTTCGGTGTGTGTGTGTGTGTGTGTGTGTGGGGGGGACTCCCAAAAAGAAATAAAATGTTGATAATGAAATTCAAATCGCAAATAACACTGCAAATGCTTCTAAAAACTATTATCAAAACGATGATGATGTTTGTCATCATCCTAAAGGATGTTATTTGTTGTGTTGGACCGCAGACACTATCAGGCAATATTTGTGATATCACTTCACTCAACTCACTATGGTATGAATGAGAAAACAATATACCTTATTCGAATATTACAGTTGGCTTTGATTTTTGATCATGTAATCAATGGATGGTAATGTGTTTTGGTTTTTTTTTTTTTTTGGAGGAGTCACGGGCAGCTGTGTTAGTAGTAATTAATAATATCAAAATGTACTTATGAATATGTTGATAATAACTAGATGTTTGAGTGTGTGTGTGTGTGTGTGTGTATGTGTTCGAAACAACCAAACAACTTATGGGATCAATGGCAATCAAGTGTCGTGTGTTTGGGTTCGATCTGTTCCACATGAATGCAATGGTCATTTTATTACGCTGAATGATGCTTTCGATGTGTCTATTTCTGTGTCTATTTTTTTTTTATTTTGGTTGCCGTCAACTAAATTTCTTTTTTCTCAGATGAACCTTGAGATCGTTAATAATTATTATTCAATAAATAAACATAAATTTAAGATGCAGAATATGGCCCATTTGAAGCGACAACAATTCAATTAAAAATTGTAGGAAATTAAAATTAAAAACATTTATCTTAATGTCTATTTCTCCATTTAATTGCTAAATAAAATAAGCGAATGTGAATGTGGATTAAACCCCTTTGTTTTGATATTTGATAAAATTAAGTTTAAAGAAGAATAGAAAAAAAAAGTTAAGGAAAAAAGAACATATCATTTGGAAAATATATTCATTTTCTAGTACCCTAAATTTCCATTCGTCGTACTTCTTTCGTGGCATTGCATTGTTCTGGGTAGTTGCAGATTCTTTGCCCTCGCCTCCCTATGTTATAAACGTTTAAACAAAGTTTAATAATCGGTTTCGTTTGGTTGTCACTTTGCGATTTCTGCGTTTAGTTTTTTTTTGTTTTGGATTTTTTCTTTGGTCAGCTCAGTTCATTTATTAATGATTGAATTTTCGTTTTTGCAAAACGTTGCCATTCCCTTTATCGGTTCGAGAAGTTCGAATTTTCGTTTTCTTTTCAATATATTCATGTATTAATTATATATAATCGCCAAATATGCAATTAATAAATGATCTGGTTTTTGTTGTTGTTTTTAGTCACCTAAGAACGTTATGTATTAAATCAATATTTATGTAGTAGTTACCCAGTAAATCACAATTATTTACTTTGAATCAAGAGTAAGAAAGATAACACACACATACAATTTGTTTACAAAAATGACGAATAAATTTGTTGGTTTGTATGATTCCTGTTTGTGTACGCGTGTGTGTCGTTGACAGCGGTAGGGTGTTTGAGTAATCAAATTTACTCTAAACAATAAGCATAAATAAAATGGTATCACAAAAATTTACTTTGAAGCGCCGTTGATGTTGTTGAATTACTAAATCAAATTCCATCATCGGCCATTGCAATAAATATATAGAGCAGATATTGGTTTTACGACGATTACTATGATGCAGACAGAAAAAAAAACCGTTCGTAAACAAACGTGAAACGAAAAGAAGGAGCATGAGAAAAAAACAAATTATATTCACACACATAATTCAAGATTAACGCATTAAAAATTGCAACAACAATATACAAATTAGAAGAGAAAGAGAAAAAAAAACATGTACACAAAATTCAAGATGCGCTTGAAATTCAATAGCAATGAAAAAAAAGAAACACGCATTCAATGCTCAAAAATGCTCAGGATCATATTTAACCGCTGCAAATCAGTTTGCGGGTTCATTTTTGTTGTTGTTTGTTTTGTTATTGGTGCTGCAGACAGTGATTTAAATTCTTGCAATTATTTCGTTTTTTTTCTCTTTCAAAGACACGATTCATTTAAAACGTATCATTTTTTTGTTGGTTGTGAAATAATTTGCATTTAAAATTAAAAAAAAAAGAAAAGAAATAAGAAGGTTAACACACTCGAGAAAAAAAAACAGATTCAATAAAACGGGTTACTAAAACAAACCAACAAGATATATTCAGTGTTACCTTATCCTTTTTATCTTGTCGGGCATACGGAAAACATGGAATCACAGCTGTTACACGGGAGGCTGATGCGATTTTACATGCATTTATCATAATCAATAATTCCATGAGGTTATCATTTATTTCACCGGAACCAGACTGCACAATATACACATCTTCGCCACGCACTGATTCGCCAATTTCAACGCTGCAAGCAGAAAATCAAGTCAATGAAAAAAAAAAATATATACAGAAAAAGAGGGAGAGAGAGAGAGACAGACAGAGGAAATAGAGATAGAGACGAAAGCAAAATAAATCATCGCCATAACATTTGAATTACATTGACGCGAGCAATTTTTGATTGTTGAAAAATTTGCAACAGCCATTTCAAATTGCAACTAACAAATGGGTACCAGGCACTGAGTGCACAAATAACCATCATTGAGCCCATGCACAATCCTTTCAAACAGTGTTGTTGTTTTTCTCTTGAAATGCAGTTTCGAAAGAATTTCATGTAAGCCACATTATTTTTACTGATATAATTTCCCCTTGACGGCCGCCTTTACACAAACCAAATAGCTGACTTTTTCTGGCTTGTTAATTGGACAAATGAAGGAGGTAAGCACAAGGAAGACAGTAATATGCCTGATGTACTTTATGTTGTTTCTGTTGCAGATTTTCTGCTTATATTAGCAATTGATAATCTGTTTAATCGATTATCCCTTATTCGTGCATCATTCCTTTAATAAATCAGCACAGCAAAATGTAAAGGGCAAAGGAAATATAGAATCGCGCTTGCTTATTGGCACAATCGAATTGACCTTAATCTAAAATTAAGTTCATAATATAATGAGATATCCTTCAGCAATTTAGAAAATCCATCGAATCAAATGTGATCCGTTTGTAGTGTGAATATCGAAGGTTAATGTAACATCAATCAAAAAAATGAAATGAAATGCATTCTTTCGAATGTGCCAATACATCGGCAATTCGATCAAGTGTTCTTCAATGGTTGTTTCGAGAAAATAGTAGAAACTCGGCAACAACGATTGTTGATCGAATAAATTTCTGATGAGAAATTATCTTTGTGCGATTGATTGTGTGTGGAATGAAAAACAAAATTAAGGTTTGGTTTGTACACGTACCCAACAACATAGTAATATTTTCCTATCGTTCGACTATCTATTATTATTTTTCCAATGGGCCGGCCGATAATGTAGGACCGAACACGAAATTCAGTGATATGCTTTTTTCTATTCTCTTGCGTATTTGCACATGATAACCTTTTTCATGCTTGTACATTCGAGCCAGATTGACCCGATGATGTGCCTTGGCGTAAACATATTTTTTTTTGTCTTAAAATTTATTTGTTCTCCCAACTCTGTGCGGATCTGATGCGCACGACGATGACAACAACGATGAAAATTATTGATGCCAAAACATGGCGTAACCGTTGGAAAAATGTTGACGAATAAATTGTAACGTAATCAAGACAATTCAATTATTATTCGGAGCCGTTATCGTTCAATAACTTTGGGGAGGTAGAATGACTTTGGACTATCCCTCCTCTAATCGCCACATTCAGCGATTCTTTTAGTTAAAAAATGATAAATAATTTTAATTGGACAAACATTGTTCGGTTTTTTACCCTTAGATTGACAACAATTGAATTGCCCATAACACAAATGAAGTATATTTGTGTGAATCGGTAAAGTCATCGTTGCGATCCGATTCAATTGAATCAAACCACTCTTCAATGCAATCGAATTTGAGCGATTGCAATGTGTTTATCTGTCGAGTCGACGAGTTTATCTCTGTGCTATTTTTCTCCTTCCTACTCGTTTTTTCTGCTGTCCATGTCTGAGTGAATATTTCACGCAGACAATTCCATTCACACGTGTTTCATGTGGAAATGTATGCGCCGACTATGCTCAATTCATATTAAGTGATCAGCTGATTGGAAGTCCGATACATTTACATCGATATAAAAAAAAGGTGATAAACGTAACTCTTTCGTGCTCTTGTCTCTCATTTCTCGCTTTTCACAATATATGTTGTGTTTATTGGCTATCATAGCACTTGGTCATCGTATCGAGATATGAGTCAATATTGCCGCAATTGCGGCAACTGATGCGGTCGGTAAGGAACTTGAACTACTTCTGAATGCGAAAGGAGTTAGAAAAAGATGCACACACAGACACATTGAATGACAAATTGCTTGTGCACGATTCACAATTGTGCAAAAATTTGCCCGAAAATAGCTCAAAGGAAGTCTCCATAGCAAAAAACAGAGGGAAACGATTGCATGGAGATTTTTTTGCAATCGCTCATTTTTTTCTTGCTCTGTTCTTATATTTCGCCATGCGTTTCTGATAAAACTTGAAAGGCTCAACGATTTTTTTTTTCTCTCATTTTATTGTTGTTGCTGCTTTTCTTTTGTTTCAACACTCTATTCTCGAACAATTCCTAATAAAAAATCGAAAAACAATACAGACGAAGGGACAGAAAAGGAAGACACAGCGAGAGAAGAAGACGAAATGAAGAGAAAAGAAAACATGTGTGCAGGTTATGTGTATTTGTTGTTGTCACAGTGGTTAAGTTTTTGGTTGGTTTTGTTTCTGTATTCCGTCTTTACATTTCTATCCTGCTTTGCCAAAAACTCAATGCATTTCGACGTACCTGCCTCTTCTCTTCGCACACCGTTCATTCTCTCGCAGTGAATTCGAAACGAAAAAGAAAAAAAAATTGAGTATTCTACGAACTGCAAAGTGCAATAGAGACTCTCGCTACTCTTTTCTCTTCTTTCTTTGCTGTTGCTCTGTTTCTTTCTTCGTTCCATTCGAAATGAACGTATCGATAAGGCAAACGAAACGACGTGTAAATCAATCACGCGTACCCACAATTCGTTCTCGCCAATACTTAAACGAATTTTTGAAGAAAAAAATATGCGCACATTTTGGGATGTCTCTCTCTCTCTCTCTCGCTTGAAAATGCGGTTAGGATCATTCATGCGAAATAGATTAAGAAATCAAATCAAATGAAAGAGAAAATGAAAGAATTGCCTGTTTACATAAGGATTTAATTTGTTCTGTTCATTCGATTCTATGTTATTTTTTTTACATCTTTCGATTGACTTTCATTCATGTCACTTCAATTACATGAACCAAAATGCTATTTTAAGTACCGTAAACGTACATAACAATCAAGATCGAAATTTCGTGCGACTTTTTTTTTATAAAAAGTTTTTATGGTATGTACAGCATACGAGCGTCAAATTGGAAATATGATTATGATTAGGATGCAAAACAGAAATTTCAATGTGACTGAGAATGAAGAAGACGAAGAAAAAAAAACACACAAGCGTGACAATTTCATTCGGTCGGAACTACACAACCTTTCTTCAGTTGCTTGATAATCAATGATATATATATATTTTTATTGTTTTTGTTGTGTCTGTGTGTCATGATGCAATGTAATTTTTAAGCGACGACATTCATTTTTTTTTCTATGAAACAACAATTGTCCGAACGAATTTAGGCTAGAAAAAAAAATCACAGCGCCGTTCATGAATTAAAATACACATGTTTCGAGGGGTTTGTGTATGCATCGAGACAGCGTATATAAGATCAATCACGCAAACAATAAACACATACGCAAAATGCGAATAACGAATATCTTGTTTCACTGGGCTACTATGATCCATCGTCTATTGTCGACGATGACACTACACTAAAACGCGTAAAAAATGGATTTTTTTTTATTTCATTCAGTTCGATGATTTGAATGGCAATAGTTTTATCAATTTCAAATTTTGGCACCGTTCATTAATTGGAGAGAAAAATAAAATCAGGAAAAAAAACGTAGTATTTTTTCGCTTTTATACGCGAATGTTCAACTCACCATGTTTCCAAATTGCTGAATTTTTTCGTGACCACCTTGCCCAAATCGATGCCAAGCCGATCGACAATACGTTGGGCCAAATCGGGATGCGATGAACCGGAGAATACTTTAATGTTCGGCATCCTAGACTGTAGTTTCAGCACACTCGACTCTTCGAAGTTACTCCGGACTAAAGTTTTAGCGCGTATGGGATTAATAGATCGTACTGGCATCACACAATCAACAGCACCAGCAATACACACGATGTATATATTTTTTTCGGTGAAAGAAAAATAATGATAATCATGTCGTCAGTCTGAAACGTCACATAAACTGATAGTAAAATTCAGCGCAATGGCCCATTCGCATTGGCGCAAGCGAGACAGCCAATTTTCGAAACGAAATATTCGACACACGGCTTCGCATTGTATGTATTGTTGTGTTTCGTTTCGTTTCAGTTCGTTCGTCTCGTGTTTTCTACTGTTTTGCTGTTGTCATGGTAGTTGCGCGTTCTACACACTGCCAATTGCTTTATTGCATGTATGGAATATGTAGTCTGTTTTTTTCTTCTCTCTTTTAGTATTACATCTGAGTTTGCTGTGTGTTTTTTTTTCTCCTTCTTCCTTTCTCGTTCGGTTTTCTTGTTCTTGGGCCCATTTCTTGCCTTCATATAACCGCGCTGGGACTGTGCGCACGCGGAAGATACACATGTTGCTAGAGGCCCAACACACAGCACACCAATACACTGGCACAAGCACATCGGGCCCATAGTAGTAGAATTAGTGTGGACCGATTCAAAATCGGCCAATATGGGTTCCTCACATCGTCGGATTGCGTATATTGTAATTTGTTAAATTTGTACAAATTCAAATGAAGAATTCGTTGAATCCACACATTCTGCTGTGTTGGGATCCAGTTTCAACTGTGCCCATGTAATATTTAAATGAGCTAGATTTAAATTCCTTATCGTATTACATCTAGCAACAATTTTTTTTTCATGCCTAAATCAATTACGACGCCACTCGTTGAAATAATAAAATCGAATTGACCATTTTGCGCAACGACTCTCAGACAACCCGTCAAATCTATACAGCGTTACGATTGTTGTCTTGTTGTTGTTGTTGAAAAATGGCACTACTTTCACTTTGAGGGGCTCTGCATTCGCCTGTCACTGTATGCAATAATTCTTATTGGTTCTCATGTTATTGTTTTGTCATTTCACAGTACAAACATATTACACGGGGAAGCATTGGGTTTGAACGAAGAAGAAAACGAAAAAAAAAGTAAAAAGAGAGAAGAAAAAGACAATTTTTTTTTCACAGCTTACAAATTGATTAAAAAGTTTCCGATTAGAGTGCAGTGAATCGTTAAAAAGATTGATGTCGTTTCGTTGTTTTTTTGTTGTCGATTAAACACAAACTGCTTTACGTCAGCAAGTTTTTTCTTTTCGGTAATATTTTGGATTGCATTTCGGACGTTTAGTTTTGACGACATTTACGTACAAAGGAAAACTCGCATTGTTTTTGAGCACTGTGTGCACTGAAAGACCCTGACCAATACCGAACACTGAAGACGATTTTGGTCGACAACAACAGTAACAAATAGCAACAACTGCAGGGCATACGAACGAAGAGTGAAGAAAGAAAAAAAAAACACACAAAATTTTTTGTCATAGAAATTATCAACATAGGTATAAGCGTTCAAAATGGCGAACATGGCGGTATCTCGAATAAAAAGAGAATTCAAAGAAGTCATTAAAAGCGAAGAGGTTAGTTAAACAAATCATCGAAGAAGCATTCGATTTTCTTATTTAAAACAACTGTGCGTATTTCGAAACACAATGCTGTGTTTGTCCGTGGAAAATTTACAAATCGAAATTCGGTGCCATTCGAATGGGATGAATCGTCGTTTGATTGGTGAACGGATTCAAAAGTGCTGGGATGATACGATGCAAATGACGTACCATTTTTTTTCTTTCGAAATGATTTGCTGTAATGTATTTTCCTTTTACAGTACAATATTGTTTTCAGTCACAATTCATTGCTGTATTTGTTGCGTCGTCCAATTTTGTTATTGAACGATAAATATATACATGGTGTGTGTGTGTGTGCAACCGAATGTAATTTTGCAAACAGTTTCCCTTCGCTGTGCCACTGTTGCTATGTTGTGTGCAACGTTATCAATATCAGTGTGGAAATTGTATCTGCATGCAAAAATGTTACCTTTACTTTTATCGGAATCCCGAACCGGCTCATCACTTGACATCTTATCAATGGATCAGTTGATCTTTGCCGTTTTGATTGTCCAGTGAAAAGAAACGCAGTTTTAGCTTTTTCTTTAACTCGTTGAACCTCTGGACTCTAGCGACATTTTTCAATTCAACCGAAAATATTTAAAATAAAAAGTCCAAATTGGCAACAACAACCACAGCCACAGTGTGTATATGTGTGTGTGTGTGTGTGTGCGCGCGCGTGTGTGTGAGAAATGAAACAAAGAACAGAAAAAAAACGAAAAACAATAGTTTTATATTTCACTAGTGGTGCACACTTTTTCCAGTATATATCGCTGAATGAGTGTGTTATTGAGGTATTTCCTTAAATTACCAATGTGAACAACAATAAGAGAGGCAACAAAAAGCAACTCCTTCAACGCACACTGCGCAAGACCTAAAAATGGTTTTTTTCGCAAACAACACAAACACTCGGTGCCTCCGATAACGGATTCTATATGAAACGAAACATTTTTGTTTGAAAAACAACTGGAATGGGGAAGAAATAGCAGCAGCGAATTCGTGCTGAATTGGTTGAAATTAAACAAACGGTCAACACTCATACCCGATGTTTGTATGTATTTCGGCAGCTGATATTGCACACAGCGATACACGTCCGATTCGAATATTTATTTTCCATCGCACCATTCTCGAATCGTCTGATCTCATTGCCAATGGGAACATGTAATCAGTGTTTGTTTTGCTCTCCATTTCAACTATCAATCTCATTTGTTATACCCTGATGCCATTTCCAACGAACGTCATCTCATTTGATCCCTTTGGCCTTTGATATGTTTTCAATATTTTTATTACATTTTTCCGTTTATTTTTGCTTTCTCCCATCAAATAATTAACTGCTCAATATGTTTTTCGTCGATCGTTTTTCCTTTCTCGCCTTTAGATCGTTCAATGCTCCATCAAAATCGAACTAGTAAATGACAGTTGGACAGAATTGAGAGGTGAAATCGCTGGTCCACCAGATACACCATATGAAGGCGGAAAGTTTCAGTTGGAAATCAAAGTGCCAGAAACCTATCCATTCAATCCCCCAAAGGTAAAGCCAAACAATGTTACCAAACATGATTTAGACACTTAATTTGCTTCTTCATCTTTTTCTTTATATCTCGGCTGTACAGGTTAGATTCATCACACGAATTTGGCACCCAAACATATCTTCCGTAACTGGTGCTATTTGCTTGGACATTTTAAAAGACAATTGGTAATGGTTTTAAATCAATTTCTCGTCAAAATCAAACGTTTTACACAAATATTTCATTCCATTGTTATGGCCATCAAAATACAGGGCTGCAGCTATGACACTACGCACTGTACTGTTATCATTGCAAGCGCTGCTATCGGCTGCCGAACCAGATGATCCACAGGATGCGGTCGTTGCATCACAATACAAAGAAAAGTACGATATGTTTGTTTTGACAGCCAAGCATTGGACAAATGCGTATGCCGGTGGTCCAAATCGGATTCAAGATTGCGATCAGAAAATTCAGCGTTTGCGTGATATGGGAATTCAGGAGCACGAAGCCAGATCAGTTTTGTCGAAGGAGAATTGGAATTTAGAAAAAGCCACTGAAAACCTATTCAGTTAGCTCCAAAACAAAGAAAATTCCTAAAAGCATAAAACATATTTCGAGAGATGTTGAAGAAGAAAATCAATAAAACGAAAACGACCAAGACAACAAGAAAGAGCAAAACCATTTGCAATGGTCAAGTGAATTTTAACCAAACTGGCCGTTATTACTGAACAAACATACACACATACACAAATCCACTTAAATTATTATTCCCTATTTTGTTTTTCATATGTAATAGTTTTTTTTTAAACCGCGACAAGGAATTTATTTTTCTATACAATTTACTGTTGAATCGGTTCACAATAATTCAATCCGTTCACATAGTTTCGAACTTCATAATTTTTTGTTCTGTCATATATTGTATCATCATAATTTTTGTATTCAATTTTGTTTTCCAAAAATGATTTGTCGTGTGTCACGCTCAGAATCGATTGATGCTACGCATTACAGGTCTGTGTGTGACACACTTGTTGCGAATGCTTATCGAATTGCGCATGATACACTACGGTTGATTTGTGAATGGATCTTAGAAGATTCAACCTGAAAACACACAAAACATCCGTAATTTGAATTAAGCCGAAGTTAAAAAAAAACAACAACAATAACAACAACAACCACACATGCATCAAAAACAAAGGAAAGAAGAAAATAAAATTCTATTGTGCGAACGTTATTAAATTGTAAATATTGACAACAAATTATTGCGAAACTCTTTAAATTGTTTTAACATTTAAATTTAAATTAACTATGAAAACTGAGAAATGATTAAATACCCGGTGTAGCTGAGAGAAATGTACTATATTAATAAGAGAATGCTTCTCAAAAACAATTGTAAGTCTAAGTTCATGATTAAAAATCGAAATTAAAATTGATAAATTTGCGAATTTTCTCTGTTATGCCTGCCCTTATATTACAATTCATTTGCCGGACATTTTGACTTTGTTCTGTCGATGCTTTTCCCGCCATTCGGCTTCCAGACACACATAACTGCCACCAATCGGATGCGATTCGTGATGCATTTGATTTTCGTTGCCCATCTTCTTTCGCACCATCGATTGGATCTGCCGCATGGCCCGTTCCTCGAATTCTCTTTGATTATCCTGATTGCTGCGTGCCGAAATCTCACCCGACCAATATCTTCCAGATGGTTTGGCTTTGCGACTACCCAAGAAACAATTGTTAACGCAAATACATCCATTACCAAGCGTATGTAAACGGTCGAATTAAGGCCCGCATTTGTGTGTAGTTTCAGTCATTTTTAACGTCACAATGGAAGTAGAAAAAAACGGTAAAAACAAATCAATTAGAAGGATATAAAAACGATTATGAATCAATTGATAACAAAATAACAAATCACGTGTGAAACAAGGTTATATTAGGGTGAAAATTTAAAGTAAAATTTGGGGGTTAATTTGACTACAGTTACTACGAATTTCAACGTCATAAATGGACCCACCTCGAGTATCATCCAACTGTACGCTTCACTTGAACTAGGTCCATTTATGACTTTGGTAAATATTGGTGTGGATATTAAAATTGACCAACTGACTGAGAAAATCTTACAAACAACAACTTACCTACAGGCTTAACCCGTATTATATCGTGCATATTTCTAGAGCTAATGAATAGTTTGAAGATTTCAAGTGACATTTACAATTGAAAATGTTGCACAACGGTTCTGATTTCTCAATTGATTCAAAGATGAAAACGATCAAATCTGTTGTACATATATAATTCTCAGTCAGTCAGTCAGTCAGTTTTCACACCCATTATTACCGTCACAAATGGATGTGATTCGAGTGTAGCGTACAGTTGGATGATACCCGAATTTCATCCGATTCGGACGGGATTGTATGTGAATTAATGGTCAAATGCACCGCTGAAGTGGGCAAAAGCATTTCTTAATTTAACGGTAGAAAGCATTACATAAATGTGGCTTTGCGACTATAATTCAATTAACAAAATTTCAATCAAGAACTAATTTTATTCTATATGAATGTTTTTTTTCTTACTTCTGTGCTGGCCTCATTCTCGGCTTCACTAGTCTTGGACTACTGAAATCTGACTCGCATCCATCGCTACTTGTCGTCGAAAATTGTTTCAATAATTTATTGCTTTTGTAATTGTTGCTAGATTCACTATCGCTGCTCGAGTCAAACGAAGCCGATGACTGAACGTACAACTTTGGACACGCTCGACCAATTCGGTTCTCTATTCGATACAAAGGATTTTTTGATAACATCGTCCACAGAAGAAACAAAAAAAACGTTGGAACATAATAAATATCGTTCTCTTATTTGAAAATAAGATGAAAATCATTACCAGCGAGTACAATTGGCGGTAATAATCCAGGGCGATCTTTGGACGGTGTCAAAATGATACCATTCCACCAAGTTTCATTCAAAACACTGGCCTTCAACAGTTTACTTGGAGGCGGTTCGTATAAACAATTTCCTTCGGCAGCAACTTGAGCCAATTTTAATATTGCACGATCTCGATCGTTTAGAATTTGAACAGTGTGCTCACGATATTGACACCCCTTCATATAAATTGAATCAGAAATTAGATTACATTCATAATTGTGTAAAGAATTTCATGGTACTAACCATTGGCCCTGGCAGAGTTTCGTAACGGAAAGCCTGTTGGCCGCAGCAAGTGTATCTCCCAGCTGGTCCTGGCATTCGAGTTTCAGTTACGGGTCCCAGAAATTGCGCTTGTTCCGAATGATATAAGCACCAGTTCATCTGGAATGAAGGGCAGTTTTTGAATTGATTCAGTTTTCATTCACACACGTTACGAGACAAATCTTTCGACCAACAGTCGGTTTTGGAACAACGGTTTGAGATGAGAAAAAGAAGCACATTTTTCAAGACCTGCAAGGAATTTAACGCTAAAATGGTGGAAATTAATACCTGATACAATGGAAAGTAGCTTTCACATGTGGCACAATATCTGGAAAAATTCGTTATTATTTGAATTTTTTTTTCATTTTGCTCACAATTCACACAAGCTAACTTACAGATAATGAACATTTCCCCAAAGTCGCCAATAAACTTTTCTCCACGATTTCAACTCCTTGTACAGTGTTGAGATAAAATGATTGAAATTCCACGATGTGTCACGGCAATGTTGGCTGATAACTTGACCATATCGATTTAAATGCATATTCGAAGGATCACAGTGTATTATGGTTGCCATCGAATCATTGACACATTTCAAGCAACTATTTTTTGATTTGTATTTTCAATCAGTTAATTTCATTCAATGAATAACGTTTTAAAAACATATTTTGTCGATATTTAAGAAAAAAAATCAATAAAGACCAATAATCCTTTTTCCATATGGTGCTGCAGCGACATCTCACTGCGACAACGTAAGCTTCATACTCACAACAGAAAAAAGTGGCATAAGTTAAGAAGAAGAAGAAGAAGTGCACGGTGTATACTGTAGTTAACGATGTCGCAGTGAGACGTCGCTAGCAGCAGTCATTTGACGGCTTTAATGTAAAGTAATACATGAAATCGAGGCTTGCCGTGAACAACGAAATAAATCACATAGACTGCCATAGTGTCCGCGAAGTGCTTGTGGTTCAGGTTCGCACAAGCTCTGAATCATTTTGATCCATATGCGTGGAGTGACACGTTCTTTTTTATCTTTCACCATTTCCAATTCCAAATTCGTGAACATGGCGGCCAATCGTGAAATGATACTTTCGTTCAAACAGGATAAATTTGCAGACGCTTTAACAATTTCATTTAAATTTGCATGGCAATGGGCTAAACAATCCAACAAAAGTGGTTCCATCTGAAAACGAAAAATCTTAAGTGATCACAGTAAACGCACGGCAATTGTGTAATGTACGAAATTACTTGCAAGAAACCAGCTGAAACAAGAATTGGCACGACATTGGTGGAATCAAGTAATGGCCACATTTCCTCCGACAACGCATCTTTCTTCACCCATCGCATGAGCCACTCGAATATTTGCAAATCACAGTGAACAGATATGTCCATATCTTCAAGCCGTTGACCAGCAGTGACATCGGCAAAATAGCCCATTTTCGATACCAACAACCTCTGTGGGCATGAAAAATCTTTCGATGTTCCTTTGACCTCATCACAAACATGGATTAATACTTCATGGCTAAAATGACGGAGAAAATAAAACATAACAGCAGCAGCAGCCGATATCAATAAATTATGGCATACTCTGATAGCAATCCGATTGATTGGCTGGATTTGCGGCGTTGATGTCGCTCTTTGGAAGACGATCGAAGATTTGAACTATTCTCATTGTTTGATTTACTTGTACCTGGCGACTCGCCATTATTCACAACAATTCGTGGACTCAACAATTTGGCATTTGACTTTGTTTTCAAACCACACGTGTGGCTTACATTCAACTTATCATTTTGTAGCGGTAAATTGGCTGCACAAATGAATGGCAGAATTGAATCTAAAATTCCTTCGCTAATCACTTCATTCAGTTTTTCAGTAAGAACCGTGTCCAACGGCGATTTTTCATTGAAACTATGACGACTTCGATTCCATTTTTGACTTAAATTATTTTCATTTTGATCTATAAATTTATTTATTTATTTCATTGGTAAAAATAAAATTAGTGAAATGATTTAAGTTTAATCAATTTTGATCCACACTCACCATTTTTATCGTTGCTGCTTCCATCTTCGGCGCCGTTCGATTTAGGGCTTTGATCTGATTTAGAATTCACCAATGCGTTCACCAGCTCATTTTGTGCGAGTGCATTATAATCAAGCGTTTTTCCACTATCATCTTTAAGAATAATTGATTCGTGTACGCGGCACGCTAATTTCAAAAAGTCTAAGAATTTTGATGTCGAAATCGGACCCGATTGATTGCTATTTTCATTTCTGTTTTCCGACTTATCACTATGCTTGTGTTCCATTCTAACTATAAGCTCGAATGGCGATAGTGCGGAACGGAAAGAACGTATCGCTGACAGGAAATCGAAAAATGCCAATACTTACCCAATCCACCAACAGCAACAACAACAACAATAACGGGAGAAAAATATATCGGGAAATAAACAAACCTTTCGACTCCTTAGTAACGGCGTTTGCCATCGATCTCAAATTACATGGATTGATATATGACTGTCGAAAATTTCTATTCATTCTTTATTAATATAATAAATCAAGTTTGTAAATGGCTTAGAAAACTATCGAATAATTGCATATGTATGCATTGTATAATGAGTATTTTATGCATAGTCAATAACAATGTCAATCTGCTCTAAATGAACAGCTACCATTCTAATGATGCTTGATTTGTTTTTGTTTTTTTGTTTTTTGTTTTGTGCATTAATGTATCACGCGAATTATAGTGTTTGTACCGTTTTCTCCTCATCGCATCAAATTGACTAAAAGAGGTCAAAATGTCAAAAATAAATTGGTTTATTCTTCAATTTTCAATGCAACATTGTCAATTCCCTGCAATTGGATTTGAAGCATTTGCGATTTCCGTCGGTATGATTCGACCGTAAATATGGTTGGTTCACCCTTAATTTTCAAGCATTTTTCATTGTTTTCAACGATCGACATTACTTTGGACTTTGTCATCTTCTCCGTTAAAGTTGATATGAAGAGACCCAGTAAAATGGTTAACACACAACCAAGGAACGAATACCACATGTAACTTATTCGAAATATGGCTGGACTACTGTGAAGTGGAACGAAAAATACGCAGTTCAATTAGAGTCCATTTTTAAATGCAAATATTAATGAGAGCAGAAAACACCACTTACTAAGATGTATTGTTGTCTTTTTGTGGGATATCTTCGGTTGTGGTTGAGTTTGTGAGATGGCATATATTTTTAGCTTCACACATCTCCATTGATAGGTCCAATGGTTGCACCTCACCATTTTGTAGCAGCGCCATCGTTCCAATGTAGACAACTAATATGAGCGAAATTACACCACCATAAAGAGCTCCCTGGAATGAAAGTATTTGTATTTTTGTTTTTTTTTAATCAAACATTCAATTTAAATACTGTCGAATGCATGTTCTATACAAAAGATTTAACGTAAAATAAACTTTTACCTTTGAATTGGCACTTTTGAAGAAGACTCCAAGGGAAAATAAACCAAGTGTGACACCACCAATTAATCCATTCAAAGTGAGAGTGGCCTGGAGAATTCCACCTAATTGCTCAACCACAAATACCAACAAAAACGATAAAATTCCATATCTACACGAAAATAGTTTCAAAATGGACTGGTTAATTAACACACATAACGATATAAGCCTAAAGAAAAACGAACGATTTAAATTGCACGTTCAAACTTTTACATACCCCAATGACATCCATTTCGCATAAACGGCTCCTTTTTCTGGGTTAATTTTGATATTCAAGCCCGTGCTCACAATATCTTCGCTTGTCACCGCTGCTAATGAATTGAGCGCCGAGGCGACAGTTCTGGGAAAAAACCAATTTTATTCGGAATTGAAAATAACGAAAATGTTGAATAAAAAAAGGAGAGTATATTGAAAGCCTACCCCAAACTAGCGGCAAAAATACCAGCCACGAAGAACCCGTTGACAAACGGAATGTGATGGAAAACATCCATAATGTAGAATGGCAAAAGTTCGTCTTTGGCTCCGATCTGCCCAGATTTCAGTGGATTACAATCCTTGTAGTGCGTGAACAAATTCAAACCCGTGTAAAAGTTTACGATAAAAATCAAAACCAGACCTATTTGGATCACAAACATATTTGAATTTGATGAAAATCATTATGATGACTCAAGGCTAATATGAGTATTTTCCTCATGAATATCGGAATAAAAGTTCATATAGATTTATAGATGCTAAGTATAGTTGATCCTCACCAATGATCGATATAGTGAGCGCTTTGTTTGCTTTTTTCTGGCATCTTAGTGACATACATTTCTGCACAGATGCTTGATTTGTACATAGAAGCGAGACCCAATAGAAGAAACCGCCGATTACAACAGAAAAAACAGTGTGTCTTGTGATAGGATTCGGATCAAAACTGAAAAAATACGTATTATTTTAATAAATGCAAGAGGATAAAATAAAATATAGCTAAGAAGGATTAAAAAATTGATTTACTTGAAAAATTCTAGACGATTTCCTTCATCAGCTGTTGTCCACACTTCTGTAAAGCCGCCCGTGAAATGTAGACCCAGGCCGACCACTAACACGAGTGAAAAAGCGAGCACACATGCCTAACGGAAGAATATTCGTATTGAACGCGTTTTCATTAGATCGTTCTATTTGGGAAAGACAAGCAAAAAAAAATCACATACCTGGAATGTGTCAGCGATAACAACGGCTTTCATACCACCCTGCGATGCATAGAAAATGCAAACCAAGTAAATGAGAAAGACTGCAATGCGTGTATTCAAACCAGTGGCTTTGTTCAGTGCGATGGCTGGTGCATAAACCGAAACGGCTGTGTAAAATGACATTTGAATGATGTACAAAATTGCGCCAAAGATGCGAATATTTTTGCCGAATCGAATGCCTAAGTACTCATAGCAACTGGTCAGTTGTAATTTGAAATAGATTGGATAGTAGATTTTTACGGCCACTGAAATGCGAATATTGGATATGTTGTGTTTGAAACAAAAACAGTCAAAAATGGAATCAAGTAATAATTGAAAGTATATTTCATGCAATATGGATTCCATGTGAAACAGCCATTTTACCTGGAATGACCATAAAAATAGATAAAACTATCAGTGCGAATTGTGTGCCATTGAAGACCATTTCGGACGGATTCCCGAGCAATTCAATGGCTGTGATGAAGCTGGTCGTTAAACTAAGCGAAACTGGCAGCAAACTCATTTCAGTGCCATGCAAAAAATCAGCTGATGTATTCTCCGATCCACTGAAGAAGCCATAAAATACGCCAATACCCAATGATATCACCAGCATTCCCAACACTATTGAGTAATCGTAAAGGGTGAATGTGCCCACATGTCGATTTCCTTTATCACCGCATTCAAATGATCCATCGTGAATGTTTGGATCAAGCGATTCTTTTGCTATTGCCAGAAAGATCATTTGCATCACAAACATGAGCAATAAAATTCGCTTTGCAATGCCCATTTTTCGGTTTCTTCTATACACAATTAAACTTTTCTTGATCCAATAAATGAATTGGTTAAATTATTTAAAATGAAGTCCCTGATTCAGTTTCGGTTGACGTTGTTTATTATTTGAAATGAATAAATCAAATGATTTCAAATAGTTACGACAACAATTCACTTTTTTACTTTGTTTTGTTAACTTCAACCAAATAAATCACCTGAAAAGACAAAGACAAAGACATGAAATTGTTTTTGACTTTTATTTTATTTAATACAAAGAAATTGAGAAAAATTGGAAAATTTGTTGATATTCCCCATTTAGTTATGTCTTCTCTTATTTTGGAGACAGATCATGAGTTTTTTTTTCATGTTAGTTTTTAACCATAGTGGCTCTCAGTCCAAAGTCCATTAGATATAAAATCCAAAATACAAACTAAATGATATCATAAACGTGTTACAAATTCTCCAAATCATTATGGTTATTTCTTTTTCGTTTCAAACCAATTATTCACACATGCGATCAATCAAATGCCGAACCAAATATTCGATCGAAATGAACAATCATCGAAAGGCATTGAAATCAATAGATTGAGAATGTGTCGCGGCTCGTGCAGGTGATTTGAAAGAGAAAAAAAACGATATATTCAAATGTGGCCAAGTAAAGTGAGACGAAAAAAATACGTATGAAATAAACAATCTATGCAAATCGAATGCAATACAAGTGGCGGGATTATAAACGAATATTGTCAATTAGTTGCGATCTATGGTATTTTAACGAGAAAAATCGCCTTAATTAATTTGCATTCAAATAATGCCAAAACGAATGAAATAAATTGAAGAGAAAAGAGAGAGAGAGAGAGGGATAGAGAGAAAAGAAGAATGAAAAAATGCAACAAACAAAAAATGAATCTTTTCAAAAGCTTCAATTCGGTTTCATCATGCACTCACGCACAGTATGGGGGTCTGTGATTAAAGAATGCCCAATGAAAACCAGTTCAAACTGATTTGAAACAGGTAAGAGTTAGTCGATTCAGACATTTTCTGCCAATATCCGGATCGAACTGGAAAATCGCAACGCGCCACTGCCGTTGCCGCCACGCACCGCGCCAATATCAATCTACGTAATATATACAGTCCGAATGACCAACGGTGATTTCTTCTTTCTTTCCATCATTCTGGGTCGTAAAGTGCGCCTCGCATATGAATAATTATGAGCTTTGCGTTTCCCCATTTCGATAGAGGAAAATAAAATATTCTGTCGCAACAAAACGATTAATTTCGCTCCTTTTCGTATGTAACATTTTAATTTATTGTAAATTCAAATTTATGAGCGGAGAATTTCGAGCAAACAACCGATTAAGAAATAAATAAGCAAACAAAAACAAGTATGAAGATTGTTTGTTGTGCCCTCTTGAACATTTGTTTTAATTACAGTAGTTTTTATTGAGAAGGCAATTAGTGCTTTGGTCATATTGTAATGCCGTTAACTCGTGAGTAAAGCCCGCGCGCTGTACTGATTACATATGTATATGCAAGCAAAATCTCTATGTTGTGTAGACTATAACAGAGTGCTATCAGCATTTCTCCCAAAATCATTATCAGCTCATTTATTGAGATCTTTTCGAGATCGTAAAACATTGGAATCATAATTGGTTCTTATTGGGCTCGGAAAATTCACCCATTTAATGGCGTCAATTAACTTTTTTAGGATAAACAACTAATTTGAATGGAGTATCGCTCATGAATTGACTAATTTTTAACTACAGCCCATTTTTTGTGCCGGCCAATTTGAGAATCGAACAAAATATGCAGCAAAATTCGAAACTGATGACTAAAAAAAATCGCTTAGCGGTTATGTTTTAAGATATACTTCTGAATTTAAGCTCCATTTGTTTTATTCTCGATCTTGTACAATGATCGGTTCCTTCTTTATCATTCACAGTACTCTAAATTATTGTCTTTACTGAACAAAAGAATATACCATAATTCAAATTGAATGGTGTCGTTCAAGCAATAAAAGTTGATTATTATGATAGTTATTTATTCGAAATGGACGTAGCACAATTGGTGGCGTAGAAGGAAAGGTTATGTAAAATATGCATTAATAAACGATCAACTTGGGCCAAACTCTGCTTTCGTTTCGATACAATAACGCTATCATTAGAACAAAAGGTGCTCGAAATGTGGGTTTTTTGGTTGATTCGTGTTCAAAATTGGCCTTTAAAAAGTGTTTCAAATCAACATTTTTTGAATATCATTACTTAATGAATCACGTTTGCAATTTTTCTCCCGAAAATGCATCAATTCGTGCAATTGATTGCCGAGATTCTTGCGCTGTCAATTTATCGGTAAAAAAAATCATGCAAAATCATTTCCGACTCGTGTTGATTTTTTATCAATTTTAATGGAATCGCATCCCGATCGTAATATAAATGACTTTAAAAAATGTCACACGATTCAATTGAATCAATTTGAGAATGCTAGTCGCTGGAATGTGCAACAATTTACCGATTTTGATCGTAACCGAAAGCAGCCAGACGGAGTTCCGTGATTGTTTTAATTAAAGCTTTCGCCGCTATTACGTTCGTCGTACACATTTTTCTGTTGCATTTTTTTTGTTTGTTATCATTAGAAATGAATTTTTGAAATTATAATTAGCTCGACATCTGTATTGTTAGAACAGACAAAGGGCGAGCGAGTGAGAGAGCATAAGACAATAGAAGCCACTGCACAATAGTTTCTGGAATTAATTAAATTTTACACTTTGTTTTTCATTCGATTTATCTCCATAAAACAGTGTCGGCATCAGTTCCTTACTCATTTTCATGTAACTGTTTCGACGTCGGCTTTTAACTAGATTGAATCGAAACAGGAACAGATTAGCAAACAATGTGCATTCATGTTTGGTGAACGAATTTTGCGGTTTGTACATTTAGAACGTTTGAATTGAGAGCAAGGCACAATCAGAAAAAAAAGAAGCAAAAAATGAATGATCACTAGTCTTGATTGAAGTTTCCACACTCGAAACTGTGTTGATTCAATTGATCAAAGACTCATGTGATATCGTATTTATTGCTAAAATGCCATTGTACTCACCTTAATAATGTTTATTGATTGCAAATGTTTGTTAAAAACGTCCGAAATTGAATTTGTAAAATATAGCCTTGGCTATTTCTGTATTTCATTCGAATTGATTCACTAAGAAAATGCACAATTCCCTTAGCACAACCACAGACTAAGTAGCAAACCACTTGAATTGTTGATGATGATGGTTCGAGAAATGTGTCTTCAACGGTTTTGTTTTTTGTTTATCTCGAAACTACAAAACCCACAATCACTTTTATTTTTAGATTTGCAGATTTGTCGCGCCAAAATTTCACACAGAACCAATTTCGTCCGCATGAAATCCGTTTGAAAAAAAAAATGTTTAAATTTACTGATAAGCTTCGATCGCGAGTTATGAAAAAAAAAAATTAACCGAAAAATGTGAAAAATAAACGGTATTTCAAATGTTACGATGCGAATCAAATGTGAAAAATGTACGTTTTTGTTTTGAAATGCAATAATTTTAGTTTAATATCAGTTTTAGGCTTTCTGATGCGGCCAGATTGTCAACCGTTAAGTTTCAATTCAAATCAATGACTGACTGCGCTCGTACAATATCCAAACATTTTTAATACTACATGAATGCATAGATTGATTGAATTGAGATGGTTTCAAATTAGTTAATTTTTTTTTCTCTTCTTCTTTATCGTATTGTGGCGGACGCGAGCACCCGCTCGCGATGCACACGGAGGAGAAGGAAAGATAAGGAGAGAGAGAGAGAGAGAGAGAGAGAGAGAGAGAGAGAGAGAGAGAGAAAATTTCGAAGCATCGATGAAAAACGCTTAGCGTCTATGTGGCAGTGGCGAATGCGCTGACGATCGCATCGATTTTTTTAACATTGCAAACATTGGTTTGCGTACGATCGAGACGAGACTAGATGGTAAAATCTGAGGGAAACAACAAAAGAAAAGAAAGAAGCAAAACAAATAGAGAAAGAGTAGCAATTAATTAAATGGGCTTGAGTGTGACTCTAAGAATGATCAAATAAAAAAAAATTAAAACAATAACAATGAAAGACAAACAAAGACATAGGATCTTAGAAAACTGTAGTAAAAACGTTGGTGAATTGTGTGAAAAGTTTAACGGAGGGGATAGCGTAAATTTTTATTGGTATTTCATTAGATAAGCTATGTTCCTTGCTTCCTAGCCGCATTGAACTAGTTGTGAATGACACCCACACAATCGCAAAAACGCAATCACACATCGATTGCCTAACAATGCAAATGCACGAGGTTGCAAACATCTGTTTCAATGAACTTGCTTCGATTTTGCCAAGAACTGGTAAGCCACTGATTGATCACTAAATCAATCGGCGGCTATTGTTAAAGAGAACAAAGAGAAAACGCGACTCCAAGCGCTGCCATAAATTGGAATATTGAACTTGACACGTGCTTTTTGTTTGGGTCCTTTTTTTTGGTCGCTACTGTTTATTCCCAATTTATTTTTGCTTCCATTCAATTAGTTTTTTTACTTCGTTTTTGAACTCAATCAATTTTATAAGTTCATTCACAGCTAGGGGAATATCACGCTTAGATTATTTCCAATATTTCAACAAAATTCAATATATCTCTAAGAATCGGTCGTATTAAATATGGTGTATATTTGTGAATAGGGCAGAATATTGTGGATATTTGTGATTAGGAATGATATTTAAATGTATTTACTTGGATTTAATGCTAAAAATCTCAAATATCTCCAAAATCCACAAAAATCTGATTTATTTATTCGAAATATTTGAAAATATATCATACAATTGATGTTTATTTCAAATATCTCAAATATCTCACCAGATTCAGGAGCGTGATATTCCCCTAGATTCACAGTCAATTCGCAGACGACCATATCTAAATTATAACGTTGCCAATTTGAGCGTTTCGGCTAATTCAATTGCATCGCTTCGCTAGAATGTAGGTTAGAAATTCGAAAATTCGGAAGTTCATTCATTTAGAGAGCAATCTGTGCGCGAATAAATGAATGAACCAGTCATCGATTGTCTCGAAAGCCTCTGGTTATTGAAACATCGATCAATATAAGCGTCTGAGTTATTTACCATTTTGAATGACTCATCGTGCTTTGTGCTTACCAGAGGTTCTTCTTCCTCTTCTTCTTCTTAAATTAATCGCATGTTGTTACTTCAAGCTATTTTCTGTTCTGACTGAACGTGCCTTTCGTGACAATTTCCACATCAATTGCTATTATTAACTTTGATGAAAAATGTCAAATAGTTAAATAAATGATATGGAAAAGAAGAGAAAGAAGCAAAAAACCAACGGCAGATCTTGAAACAATATTAATTGCATCAGGAATATTCATTGCAATCAAGTTAAAACTAATTCGGTTAATCGATCAAGCATTGGGCACGTGTGTGCAATCAGACGTAAAAGCTCCGCTTCATTCGCATGATTCTTCGATCTAATGGAATTCATTGCCAGAAAATGGTAAATTTTTGGATTCTCAACTGTCATGGCATTGAGCAAAAACAACGATATAGACGAAAAACAAAACAAGTTTGCCATCGATGCATGTAAATTTCGGCAAAAGCATATGTTTATCGAATGACACACATTTCGAGATGAGCACATCATTTCGGAGAAATATGACTCCTCAATCATTAGTTTTGCTGCAGCCAAAGTTCTGTAGAAATCAATTAAAAAAGCATAAATTGTCCGTTCTTTCGGCTGTCTGTTTGATTGCAATGCGTGCAAATGTGTCGCGTCAGCAAAGTGTTGATCGAATGTACTTAAGCAATTCTAACGAATCAAAACAAAATGTTTGTTGTCATAAATTACAGCGCTACGTCAAGAATTACTACAATGACCGCTGTTTCGTCGTCATCGCGATCGTCATACTCCAGTTTCACGAGAGAAATAAACATTAACCACATTTATCAGTTTCATATCATAACAGATTTTCCATTGCATGCAAATCACTGTTTCAAATTTGTTTTTATTTTATTTATTTCTTTCGATGGGGCACGTTTGCTGCCGGTTGTTCATGTTCAGACTAGCACCGATTGACGAGCGGTTTGGCTGTATGTTCAAGGTGGATATGACTTGTTGTCTTACATGAAATTCGTATTTAATTTGACGGTTTTACATTAATAACGCAATTTAAATTCAAACCTAATACCGATTGTGATATGCGCATCAGTAAATTGTCGATATAACTTCTTGTATTGGGTACAACTGTGCTTGTGTGTCTCTGTTCGCAGACTCAAGCCGCAGTACATTGTGATTTGATGTGTTCGCATTACGGATCGAATATATGACAAACAATTAAAAAAAAATTCCCATATTTTCCGGATATCACCGGTTCGATGTTCGATACTCGATAAACATCGAATGCGAAATATATTCAATTGATTTGAGCGCAGCAAGAAAAAAAAACGTTGTACTACTGCTACTGCTACTTGCATTCGAATTAAGACGAGAATGTTGCTCGTGCTGCGTCTTTGTGTATCGATGTCGCGCAAATATACACGATTTGGTCGGTCGAGTTTTGAGCAAATGCACAGAAGCTTGTTCTCTCATTTTATTTCATTTTTTTTTCTCTTCAATTTGAGATTTTTTTTTTCTTTTTTATTAAAATTCATCTTAATTAAGTATTAATTCGTTCTGTGGCAGCTCATTGAATTTATGTGGAAAACGAGGATTGATTAAAAGTGACCGCCATATACAGCTATTACAGCTTTTCTCTGTATGTTTTCATCAATTTTGTGAGACACTCTTTTTTTGCTTTTGCTTACAACAAATTGAGGAGAAAAGAGTCATTTGAGATGAGTTTGTTTCAGGAACACGTGAATCAGGAAATGACAGCATTTTATTCGTGACTTATGTCATGATATGCCAATAAAATGGGCGTTCATATCGATTTATTTCGATCAAAAATAAACCGCAATTATTTATTCGGTTAATTAATTACTTGGAAGCAATGCTTAAAACCAAACCATTGAACGTGGCGCACCACCGAAATCATTCAAGTTTATGAACAATTTATCGATTGATCTAAGTGATGCACTATTCAATCAGCTTCAGCTTCAGCCTGATATACATTTTGACCGAGCGAAAATGTTGCGCTTCTTCTAGAAAATACAACGACAATGACGAATTTTTTAATTAATTACATGCATTAGTCACATTTATTATTATTTATTTATCGACAATGTGGTTCAAATTAAATGCTCGAAATGCTGGTAATTTCATTTTAAAATAATCTGGAAGCTAGAATCACGACGGGGGAGCCGATGGGCGGACGATTGAAAATGTGCCTGAGGGAAGAAAAACGAATGAAAAACTCGCAAATATGAACACATCCTGTTCAAAGCGAAAAAATAAAATTCTTTTCAAAATGTTTATCCCATTTTATTTCCATTTTGTTACAAGTAAAGCCAGTACAATAGTTATTATTTCTTTTTTTTTTTAATAAGTTAATAGTTTTGTTGTTGTTTTGTTAAAATTTAGTAAATGCTAAAATAAATGTGTATTCATTGTGTTGAATTGGATTTAATAGAGTTTGGAAACAGCGCATATTAGATCAAGATTTGAAATTTACACATTTATGAATGGTGATGATGATAGTTTTTGTTGTCGTCTTGTCAAAACCATGTGATGATGACAATTGTATGGTTAAAAATAACGGAAACGTATCTAATTGCTGTGAATGGGGCACACAGATCAAGAAAACACCTTTAAAAATGACGTCTTGATTTATTCTATATATTTCTAAAGCGTTCGATTAATTGTTTTGATTTGATTTTTGTTTTTGTTTTTTCTTTGAAAAATATTGGTATTTGTTTGTCTATTTAGTTTAATTCACACGTGATCGTTAGGCATATGAGTTACAATATACAGCAGTTCATTTTATTTTATTTTTTCTTCTATTCACCACTTAAATAATGAAAATGTTCTAGGCAAATATTCATTTAATTATTTTTGTCGATTTTTTCAGTTTTGTGTGGTTGTTGTTAGTTTTTTTTTTCTACGGAACATATTGGATTTTCATTTCCAGTCGGAATTTAGAATAATTTCTTTTTTTTTTCACTTTATCAACAGAAGAAGAAAAACAAACTCACACACAAATTGAACACTGGTTTGTTTCTCTATTAAGTCTTAAAAATTGCCATTTACATTTTGCTAAATAACATTTGGGCCACAAATTTTTGTTCAATTCTTGTCCATTGAAACGATTTCATCAATTGGAATAAAATGGTGCGTTTGGATTGTTTTTAATTTTTTTTTTTTTTTTTAATTTTTCTTCAAATATTCGTTTCATCAAATTCAGACTCTAAATCGCTAATGTTTAACTTTTGAAATGTAAAAAAAAGAGAATTAAATTTAAGTATGAATATCGTTAATTTATGGAAAAAAATGACAATAGAAAAAAAGAAACTTCAATGTTAAAAAAATATTTTACAAATATTGTGTCCGTCTTAAAAAATATAAGGAATCATTTCATATATGAATGTCCGAGAATGAAAACGCAACTTCTATTCACAACACATATAAG